GTGCTGAATTATTTACATGAACATGCATGTAATGTGCATATTGCATATAGTCATATATATTTAGTAGTATATAGAAAATAAATAAAACTCATATATTGCTGATCAGTCACCAATCAGAACCTTGGAAAAATACTCAAATTTAGCATCCATGTAGGTACATTCATAATTATGCTTACAGTATACCTTTGGCCACTGTTCCTTCATTCTGCAGTTCTAAGGCTCTGGAAATGTTTGGTAAATGAGTACATATTACTACTTTCTTTTTAATCTAATTTTTTCTGTCTACTGTGTTCAAATGGTATTTAATCTGAGAACCTATTTTAGATTTGTCAACGTGGGTAGAAGATAAATAGGAACGTCAGAAGAGATTGTATATTGTTATAAATTGATAACTGATGTTCTTTGCTTCTAGGGATAATTCAAGTGCCAGGTGATTTAACAGAGACTTTATAAGCAGTGACAGCAACATACAAGTTTAATATTTCAGTTGACAATAAATTGCTGTCAGTTCATTCAATTCCATTTAAGAATTTGTATGCAAAGGGACAGTAAAAATGCTCGATTTTATTTTGGTTGGTTTTAGCACTTCTAGCTAGGCAAACCCAAAGTATTTACAGCAATTAATTTAGCTTGCTCAATCTTAGTATAGGGACAGTCTTCTAAGGTGTGGGTCACAGTTTGTTCTTGATGGTTTGGGTAGCCCTGAAAACCTCAACCAAGGCTGGAATAGTTCAGATGGGATCTTAAGAAGGATGGTAAATCAATACCCAGTGGCTCTATAGCAAAGCTAACTGCAAAGGATTTCTGGATGTGAACTTGAGAAGGGGTGAGGAGAGCTAGGCAAGTGTCTTTAACCCTCTTGGACCTTGGCTGAAGAGTGTTTGGGGCAAATGTGCACTTAAATTATGCCACCTGTTACTGCCATCAGGATTACGGTGCAAATACTATAATTCAGAGCACAGCAGCATAAGATCACAGGAAGCTGCACACTGGACATACTGAATGAAGGTTTAGTAGTCCTGAAAGGGCAAAAGCTGATGTCTAAAAAGTGTGAATATTTCATTGCCTCGTAGATCCAAAAGGTTTTCCTAATACATTATAAATGACTGATTTTTAGCAACCATTTTCCCAGATGATCACAGCAAGTCAGGCATAGCGAGATTAGTCCTGAGTTAGTTGAGATTCAGAATGTTTTCCAGTGGATATTCACTGTAGAAAGGCTCCCACTCATGAGCTGTAGAAACATTACTGAGGCAGAAAACTTATACAACTCTTTTGGAAGTGTTCAACAACAACTGCAGCAGCTGTGGTCTGTAACTCCCCACAAACCTCTCCAGTGCAGGGTGTGTTAGCACTGCGACTTCACAGGGTTGTGTTATCTGGGGCGTGGTGTTCAGTCATCACTCACACTTGCCTAAAATTTGGCCAGTTGTTTCAGTGCTGGGGAAAGACCCAATAAACTTGAAATTGATCCCTGCCTGCTTTGAAGAGATGGCAGATGTACATCATTTAATAATAGAAGTTTTTCCAGGAAAAAAAGTCTTCAGAGAGGCCACAGTTCTACACATAATAATGTGATGAATTCTGGATTTGTTTATCCTATAAATAGTTTTATAGGGTATATAATAGCTTTAAAAACATGTAAACTGCTTGTAGCAATTAACAGCTGAGTACTTGAATCCAGGCTCCCTTTTTTTAAGGGTAAGGTGGAAAGTAAGTGGAATGTTTATCATATGATAGTGAGAAGTGAAAGACTCAGTTTTGGCACTAGATGGACTGGATACAGGCTCTTTTGGGACAAAGTATGGATTAGGCTAGTAGAAGTAACTTAACAAAATTAGTATGAATTGACTGCAAAACAAGGAACAGGAAGCTCAGAAGCCTGGGATATGACTGTCAGAGCAGCTATGGAAAACCCAAAGGGTTGGCACCTTCTGCTTATAAAAAATAGGTGCATCATTTTTAAAAAATGTAGGTGCAACCTGGCCTTCTTGTTTCTCAACAAAGACATACAAACAAAGCCAAGCAAATAAAAAGTCAAAAGAAACCCAAACCACCACACCTGAAAGGCCAGACTGGAAGAAGAGAAGCTGAAACTGTGCTGGTGTGAATGTGTGATCTTCTGTGTCCACATGCCATGGTCCTCTCTACTGTAGATATCTCTGCTGGATCCTAACTACCCTTCTTAAAACTACACTGCCTTAGTTAAGCATCAGGGTTCTTGGCAGAGAATTGTTTCTTTATACAATCTGCTTCATCTGATAATGGAAAGTTTCAGTCCTTTGTGTCTGGGAATTTGGTAAGCATCTCACAGAACACAATCCCCTCCCAGACAGGATATCTCAAAGGTTAATTAAAAATAATAAAACAGACCCCATACTCTTCCAGTTCAGACTGTGTAGCTCCTTAGCTACCCTGCTGAATATCTTTAGAGAAACTACAAATTTTATTTCGGAGAAAGCCATGTACCTACTGAAATTTGAGCTCTGTTAAGTGACACAGTTATGCTGCAGAGATATTCTTCTGCTTGATGAGACAGTCAGAGGTGTCCCCTCCCAAAAAAAAAATATTCCTGTTTTATTATTTAAAATCTATTTTTCAATTATTGTCTTCCTCTTTGGAGAAGATCCTTTTTGGCAGTGATTCAGCCTTCTTGGGAATTTTTTATATCTCATTAACTGGGAGCAGTTCCCAGGACATCAGATTTGCCATTATCTTTAAATCAAAGAAGCCTGAAATCACTCATGACAAGGAACTTTGTGGGCCCCACTCTGCTGAAGAACTTTAGGAATGCTCGAAAGTTGGGATATTTTTTTTTGGCCAAACATAGATAAAGTTGCTGTTCCTCTGTATGTGCAATATTGTTTGTGTGAGGCAGAAAATCCAGAAAAGGGTGTCTGTATCTGCTGAGTGCTGAGCTGTCTGATTGGAGGTCTACCTTTGAATCCTCTTCAGTATTCACAGCCATAAGCTGCATATATATATATATATACACATATATATATGTGTATGTCTCCACAGCTACTTTATATATTTATGTATAGTGTATATATATAAATATAGTATATATAGTGTATATATATATAAAGTATATATTAATATAAAGTAGCTGTTCTTTGCATGTCTGCACTCAAGAACAGTTGTGGTTTGATGCCAGAGTTACATTTCAGATACATTCAAAGGTTCTTAATTTCTCTTTTCCTTAAATTCCAGTCTTGAATGAAACTTGAATGGGATGGCTCAGAGGTTAAATAATTGCTAGAAAGTGACAGATGAAGAGGACAGCCAGTAATGAAAATGATAGAAAGAGAATGAGCATTGAGTGTTTTTCTCTCTCAGTTCAATACTGTTCAGTTCAGTTCAGTGGTTTGTTGCTTCAAGTCAAACATCAATTCTCCCTCATTAGTTTTTCTTCCTTGAGCAGGTATATTTTGTAGGAACTTTTCATTCTCTCTTTTATCAGAGACCCTTTTTTTGTCTGGTAGCTATAAATATGCTGTGCAAAAAACCCTAAATCACATTAGTCTCCCTGTTTGTGGATTTTGCCCCTTAGAAGCAGGAATCAACAACAAAGGCAGGATCTGAGTAAGAGAAGTGCAGGTTTTTTGCAACTGAGCAGTGAAATGTATGGCTGAACTAACAGCACACTGAACCCTCTTCTCTGGCCTTGTATTGTTGAAATTCCTGGATGGGAATTGTTGAATTAAAATTAAATGGTGTGGCTTTACTTGTAGAAGAGGTGGGTGGTAGAGTTGGTTTTCTGGTAGCTGTAAGGTACCAGACCCATACACTTAAGGTACCCATACACTTCATCCTCTCATTAGACATAATGAAAGGTTGAGTTTAGTAATATTACAGTCCTAAGTATAACGAGGTAGGAAATGGTTTTGATGACCTTGTACAAGTCAGCTATAGATTAAACAGATCGTTTTTCAAATCACATCTCAGTGTATAGGGAATATTCTGTGAATCCTTGTGAAAAAGAATTTGAGGTTAACTTGTTTGGAAAGCCAGGTACAATTTTTAAAAACTTTTGGAAGGCATTACTTGTCACTATTAATTATTTGCAGGATTAATTGTTTTTCAGTTAAAAAGTCTTGCACGCTTAGTTTCTGATGTGAGGAAGCCAGTGCATTGATTGCTTTGGTCTCCTAAGGAAAAGAATTCACATTAATATTTGGGCCTTGATTTTTCCTGTCCCTGTAGTCCTGAACTCTGATCAGCTTTGCCTATTCTGTGTATCAATGTATATAAGAGAATGAATGACTCAGTGGATTTGGATTTGGGTAACAGGATCTGGGGTATTCAGCACCTTTACACCAGTAGTTCAAATTCAGCTCAAGCTCTCTCTGCTAGTGTAGCTTCTGGAGTCAGGCATCTGTGAATCAAGTTAATGGTCCCAGAAGTGGCTCTAGAAACCTCTCTCCATTAATACCCATATCAGTAGTATCAGGAAGAAGTCCAAAAAGTGAAATGGCAGGTTGAAAAATCGTTCATCGTCTAAATTCTTCTTTAACAATGGAGCAGTTGAGAAAATGTGCTGTTTGACAAAATGAGGAGGCAGCAGGTTTACACAAGTATCTCCCTGCAGTGTGACATCCATTGCCTTGGACTGTTAGAGAGACGAAGATTTAAGAAGATGTTTGTCAAACCATGGAGAACAGATGCATTCTGTTGTAGCCCCTAGGCAGGAAGACTTTAAGCCACTGATTACTTGAATAGGCAGGTGTGAAGAGGAAGGGCTCTTCCATATTTTGTTTCTTACAGTCTTTTTTCCCAAGTAGTTGCTGCTGGCCTTTGCTGAGGACAGGACAGAGCTCAGGGCTGAAGCAGTGGGGCAGAGCTTACATTCTGATCACTATTGTCACATCATGAGGGCAGTGTTGTATCATAACAGGTGAACTAGAAGAAAAAGGGCAATGGTCTGACTGCGAATAATGGTCTGTCACAAAGCAGTGCAGTGCATTTGTCCCTCATGTCCCTTTTTTGTTTTTCTTTAGGCAGGTGACAAGCATTATCATCCAAGCTGTGCACGATGCAGCAGGTGCAACCAAATGTTCACAGAAGGAGAAGAAATGTATCTGCAAGGTAAGGATGTCTCCATTCCAAACCAAGAAAATCAGACTTTGGAATTTTTTTCCCACAGACCTCTGGAGTTTGTAAACCATCCCCATGTAATATGGCCAAGGAGAACTATGGTCATGTTCTCAGACTTTTTCACTTGAAGCCCTTTTGCCCTGTTAGGTGGCCATAACTGTGGCTTTGCAGTGACTCTGCAGCCCAGCTGAGGCAGACTGTGTTTGCAAAAGCTGTGTAGCAAAAATGAAACTTATTAGGCTGTCTCAGAATTTCACGTGCCATGGATGGCTTGGCATCCAGACTGGTATAGGAGAGATACCAGACAAAGTGAGGGGGTTCCCCCTGATTTCTTCTGGTCACTTTCTGTGCTATTCTGGACCACACTCCAAACTTTAGAAGGCAAAAGAAAAATTTCTAGAGGCTGCAGTAAGTTTGTTTTGAACCATGTAGATCTCATTCCTCATGCACACTGACAGAGTATCTCCTCTGGTTCTTAATCATATTTGCCTATTTTCCTTTTATCTGGTCATGTCTCTTTTTTTTTATTCCTGTCTACTTTATTTTTATGTCTTTCTACAGTCACTTCTTTCTTGAATGTTCTTTTCCATCTCCTCTTTCTTGTCAACAGTCTCACGCTCTCAGATATTGCCAAGCTCATTTTTTCATGATCTTTTCACATAAAAATGAATTTTCTCTTTTCCTTGATTGAAAAGTAGCCTTGATCTGAATCCCATCTACTCTCAGAGAATGTAGCACTTTAACTGTTAAGCTACAGTTATTGTTATTACTTGCTGTAGTATTAATTAATGTTGATAGAGGAATGTATAATACCCATTTATGTAAGCCAGAAATGAAAGTGAAAAAGGCAGATACATGCTGAGGTTTTGTATATTGCTCTTAGGTTAGAAAACTTGTTTGCTATATCTGAAAAGGACTGTAGGAGAATAGTGAAAAGATTATGAGAGTGTGATTGCAGCCATCTCTTGAAATCCTCAGGAGAGATTCCTTCTGGAGGAGTTCCAAAATAAGATAATATTGTTAAGGAATTCCTTTGAAGCTAACTTGTTTTATTTTGTAGTTTGCCCTCCCTTGTAGTCCATCTCTCTCATCTCTCACTGACCTTTTACCTTCGTCATCTTATTCCAGCTGTGCACTGAACTGGATGTCAAGTTGTGTAGCAGTTCTGCATTGCAGGAGCAAGAGGGCTGGGTAGGAAGTACTGCTTTCTGATGACAAATTGAAAAGACTAATTTGAAAGCAGCAGTTACAGCATTTGGCAACTGGTAATCTTCTCAGTTTCCTCACATCATAGTGTGATAAAGTATAGGCAGGGTTTGAGGTGAGCATCAGTTCATCCTTTGCTGTTATTAGTAACAACTGTTTGTGACTGATGCCATTTGTACAAGTCCAGCAGAGAGTGGGAGTTGTCAGGTTGATTGGGCAGGCTCTGGTTTAAATTTCTACAGATCAAAATAAGACAGAAGACATTGATTCTACTTAAACTAAGCTAGACTTTGTCCTATCCAAGTTTAGGTGATAGTGGAGAGGAGAGAAACCTGGCTGCTTCATCTGCTGTTTTTCTCTTTTTAGCTGTATCTCTCTCTCTGTGATAGTGAATCAATGTTCCTTGCGCTCACTCCATCTCAGGGGAGGAGCAGCCTGAGTTGCTTTATTGTTCACAGGCTGTTTTCTGACTAAATAATGTTATTACTGAGTGTGCTCCAGACTGTCCTGCCAAAGCTCTCCTTGCTGAATTCAGCATACTTGTAAGTGTGAGGACCCAAAAGCCTTTCCTGTGCAGAGCTCTCAGCTGAAAGGTATATCCTGACTCCATCCAAATAATTTTCTCTAGGGTGCAGAATAACAGCATTCCAGGCATTTCTCTGAATTAAAAATACACCACCACAACAGTGGTGAAGCTAGAACTAAAATCACGTTTTTGATAAAATCCATAAAGATACACAGCTTCCATCTCACTTTTAATTGTCCTGTCCCCAGGATGTGAAAGTACTATTGTTGGTGTTTGCTTTGTAGGGAATAGAGGAGCCTGGCAGGACTGTGGTAGAAACTTCTATTAGAAACGTGTGGGAAACATGCAAAAGGAGAACATGGAAAAACAAGCTGTCTATCTTGGGGCTTTCTACATTAAGGATAGTTTGAATAATGCTAGCAGAAGCACTCTGACTTGGCACTTCTCCAACACACAAAAATGAGAAAGAAGCAGCTCCAGAAACATTCTTTTCCCACTGACTACCTGGTAATACATTATTATATGGGCTACCCAGAAGGCTGTTGCTGAGCTTAGGACGTTGTCCACTATTTAGAGGGATGCTGATGTTGAAATAATGGTACATGCAAAGTAAAAAACTGAATAAATGAACATGCTAGTTGGTGTTTGCCAAATAAGCAAACAAACATATATTAAGAACGGGAATAACTAGAATTTGCTGAACTGTTTCTGGTTAAAAAAAAAAAAAAAGAGGAGCAATGCAGCTTGAGAATCTGCACCATTCCAAGCATTTCAAAATAGATTGGCATGTTTGGATGAAGAGATCATGAAAAAATACTTACATTTAGTTTCTTAAACCTACTCTGTTTGATTTGGGGTTTTAAATTTCACATCTTCCAAATCTCTTATCATTTTGTGGAAGAAAACTCACAACCATTAGCTAAATTTCACCATGAAAATGACATCCAGTCTTGCATTTCTTGTTTGCTTTCAGCATCTGTAGCATTCTCCTGGGGTGTCCCTGAGATTGTGCCAGTTTGTGATAACTACTGCCCAAAATGCACTGACAGCTTTTCTTTGATACTGGGTATAGTTTAATAGGAAAGAATCATGGAATCATTAAAATTGGAAAGACCCGTAAGATCATCAACTCCAACTCTTAACCTAACAGTGAGGCACAGAGGAATAGGGATCATTTTTCTCAGTGCCACACAGGAAAGAAGCTCAGAGCTGGGTTTGAGAGTTGAACCTAAACCTTCTGAGTCTTAGCTCATCCTCGAGCAGTGGGTGTCATGTTCAGTAAAGCGTTACTCAGATCACTTCTTATAACACGATACAGACGTACAACATGATCTCTCTTCCTCCTGAGTGGACAGGGCACGCCTGTCTCCTGATCTGGCAGGCGCTGTGGGGTCCTGGCTCTGAGGCTGCTGTTTGTTTACAGAGAAGGCTGTTGGTTCACTTCTCCCTGTTGTCTGATGGTTTCCCCCTGCCAAACGCACAGTTTCTTCTTCCTCGGCTTGGACTCAAAGACAAACATCTCAGACCCTTGATCCAGAGTCACGGCGTTCTCTCCTGCCTCCTGATGATGGTTATATTGTGTACTGCTGGGAAGTGAAATGACTCCTGCTGGTCTTTACTTCTGTACCACGCCATGTAAGGGTCCATCAGAACAAAATTTCCAGGGGTCCTGACCCATACCTCCCCTGGGCTCTGAGGGTGGGGTTTCCTCTGGCTGCACTTGAGCTAACAGTCACCAGCAGGAGACCTGGACTGCTCTGTTTGGTTTGTCTGTGGACAGAGTGAAGAGGTGATGTTCCCCCCTGCAGATAGTCAAGGCTCTGTATTAACTTTGTGGTGACTGGAGTGAAGTATGAATTTGACTGCAGATGCAGTCAGTGTTAAAAACCAGCATTAGTTTTTGCTCTGTTTCAACTTGGCTGATACCTGCCAGCAGCTTCCCAGCAGTGACTACATTTTACACTCTGCTCCAAAGGAGAACTGAAATGGCATGAAAATGCTCCTTGCCCCTGACCATTGCTCTGCCCTTGGGAACAGATGGATATTTCCATTTTTACAGCATGAAAGAATCCCATATTTTGGGAAACAAACAGCAGAGACCCCCACTTTCTTAGTAGCATATGTAGCTGGAATATGCCGTGTGGCAACACGAGTGCCACACATGCCACTGACCTTGCAGAGCAAGGGGTAGGAGTGATGTGTGTGCCAATGGCATATGCAGTTTGCTGGGATCTGGGGGAGAGGCTCTTTCACATGCTGCTTTGCACCACCTGCCTTGCTGGCCTCTACAGCCCTGACTCTGCTGTGCTGTGAATTTTCTGATTTTGCTTTTCATTTTGCGTAAGTGCAGGGAAGAAGTAACCTGAGCGATACTTTACAGTAACTGAATATGACACCCACTGCTCAATGGACTTAGAGGCAGAACTTCCTTTTTACATGTGGTGTGGGACATAAGGGGAGGACAGATCAGGTAACCATGGCCCAGTTCCTTTGCTCTTCCCCTCTGTCCTGCCAGAGGAACCCTCTGTCTTTCTGTTCCTCCAGCTGGTGCTCGCTGACTCTCTTGCTACTTGAGGCTGCTTGAGTTTTAATTAAGGATGTGTGCAAAGTGCTTTGGCAGCCCCAGGACGAGGCTGCTGTAGATATACCAGGGATTTGAATATCTTTTTGTTTCACTTGTATCTCTTGTGAACTAGACGTTAATGTGAATTACTCGCATAGTTCATACGGATTCACCACCCGATGCCATGAAGTGATTCACTTTCATAACTGGCTTGTCATGACCAGAAGTCATCTACTTTGCTCTGAATAAAGGTGGTGTTTTTTTCCTCCCTCAGGTTCCACTGTCTGGCATCCCGACTGTAAGCAATCCACTAAGACAGAAGATAAGCTCCGGGTAAGCTGAATTCATGGCAATGACACACCCTACATTTTGCACACACGATAATTGAATGTTGTTTTTAAAAGAGTGACTTTTTCCATGTTTTTTTCGCATAGCTGTCACAACTCTGGCAGAATATACAGTGGAGGCACTTCAGAGGTATTGCTCTGATTTTTAGGCTTACCACCTTCACATACCTGTCTCAGTGCACTGCCTTAAAGATAGTGTCATTTACTGACATACAGACGTGGCAAAGTATCTAAGACACTTCATTTCATATCTCAGTTGTTGTGAGAGAGACTCTTAAGGAGAAGATATGAACAGGGCAAATGCTACCATATATCTTAGTGGGTTTGCACATCTGTGTAATTGCTTTATAGTTATCCCCTGTTCTGAGTGGTTATTTGTAGCATTTAGACAAGATGAACTCTTCTTCCTTTGCCATACAACCTAAACCTAATTTGAATGCCAAGAAGAGCCACAGTTACCCTTGGAGTCACTTCAGCATATCCAGACAAACTTTCTGGATCAGATTCTCAGTGACAATAATGCTGCACTGATGAATGCTAGAGCCTGGCTTTTTGTGTGCACCAGGCAATTCTAAGCCCTTATTTGCTAATTCATCTACTGGACAGTTTACTCTTTTTGATGTCTCAGTTGGTCCCTTGAATTTTGCTAATTTGTCATGATGCGAGAATTAGAGACTGCATATGAATAGAACATCTTTCAGACAGGGAAACTAAGGGGTACTGGTGTGGAGATACCTACAGTATCCTGTGGGTTCTATTCTGTGTGGGTTTCATTCACAGGGAACCACATTCTTTAGCATTTATTCCAGCACACTGGTCTGTAAAACATCCCCTACAGAGAATTTATTATGATCATAGGTAATGTGCAGATAAATTCTTGTTGAGCAGAGTCCATATCGGTGTGGGCAAAAGTATAATTGGTCCTACATGGGCACGTGGATGGCCTAACATCAGTGCAGGTACCATCCAGCATTCACACATTGTTCTGTGCTGACTTTTCATAAGAAAATGGAAAATTATACCAGACTGGATTTTCTTCCTCGTTTAACAATTTGAGTGTAAATTTGACAGTGTTTTGACCATGCTTAAGTGCCAGAACACTTGTGCTTTGTAGTAAATGGTTGGAGTGCAATACCTCCCTTTCACTTGGACCCAGGAGTCTTATCAAAGCACTCCTGACCACACTGTGGCCTTTACAAACCTCCTCCAGCTGACCTTACAGATTAGTTGGTTTACTTCCATTCCCCATGGAAGTCCCATTGTCCTCCTCAAGTATTTTCCTTTTTTCTGTCAGACATTTTAACATGTCAGTATTCTTCCCCCTCAGCTAATTTTAATTGAAGTGAATGAAGTAAATGAATCAATTCACCTGCAAGGCTCTTTTTTTAAGTGAGTTCTTGCAGGAAAATGAAGTGAAAGAAGGTGTATTGAGAGGACATCTGAGAAATGTTACAGCACAGCTATCCAAGGTTGTTGCCTTGTTCCTGAGTGAGAACTTCTATGCAGAGGTTTAATATGTCTTTAAAAGGCATTGACAAATGCACCACACTGAAGCTGGCTGAGGGATGGAGCAATTTTAGCTTCAACACTGTATCACAGATTGTCTACTCTGGTGCAAAGTCAGACACTTTAAAATCAGTTGGAGTTTACTTTGATGACTTTGACAAGTGCTTCATTCTGCTGACCCAAATGAAGGCAGCAGCAAACAGGTAGGTACAGAAACAAACAAAACTGGAGGAACTATGTGCTATTCGAGCACGTCAGCACTAAATTAGGAATTGTATTTTAATTGAATTTCAGTTTCTTATGACATACATTTAGACCTAATGTGAGAATTGGAACCTGGTTTTTGAGTTGACAAATAGCCACTTTCAGAGTCAGGCCTAGATTTTCTGGTGGTTCTGCAAAAAGCCAGTGCCATTGCCTATTTGCTTACTGGGTTTCCTTTCCCTATGGAACAAAACAAAACAAAACAAAAAGCCCTTTTGCCATTGAAGTAACTAAAGAAGTTTTCAGCAAGTTCTGTTTTCTTTTAGTAACTGAACTGTGATATAAACTAATCAGCGTTCTAGCTGGTCAAGATCTGCAAGGGAGTTCATTAAAGCAGTGGTTGCTTTAGATCTTCCCCCCATGGATATTTGTGCAATATTACAAAGCCAAAACAAACAGAAAACAGAACAACCATACAATATATATTGCTTAGGCATTTATTTAAAACTGTCTGGCTGTTCATGATTCTACAGTGATCAGTAAGTAATATAAGATATTAAAATACATATTAGTAACTTGATTGAAAAAGAGCTTAACCACTGAACTGGGGAAACTGCTTTCCTTTTCACTCATTTTTCCCTTTTGTGTTTCATGACAGCATTCCTCATCTGAGTTCTTTTATCCAAAGAGTCTGGTTCTGCGCAGGCCACGCTCTGCAGAGGTTTGCTGTTGTGTTTTCATAGTGTTGACAATGATCTTCTTTACTGAGAAGATTCTTCATTATTGTCATTTGCTGCACTTGCTACTACTCCTGCCACACAGCTTTCCTGCTATCACTTGCCACCATGGGCACTGACGCTGTATTTTGCATCACTTGTTTCAGTGTTGCTTGTTAATGCTCACATTTTTTTATTTTGTTTAATGAAATGCTTAAAATTAACTTTTTTTTTTTTAGATTCAGATGAGCTTTTGGGGGCTGTAGCATTGGTCTTCCAGTATTCCAGAGAGTTTTTCTCATGAAACAAAAAATTAGAGTGCAGATATGAAGGAAATGAAAATGGTGAAAAGCATCTGACTTTAAAGTGATGGTTAAAAAAGAAATTGTTTTCCATGAACAGTGACTTATGTTTTTAGGAAAAAAAATCAGTTAAAAGTTAAAAGTTAAATCAGTTCCTTTTTGATATGTATTGACCAAATACACATGAATACTTTAGTTGAGAAAATGTTTACAAAATTCCAGGTTTGGACATATTCCATGTGCTGCCTGAGAGCATTTACCGCTCTCTAATCTAGCGCACATCCACATCTCAGTTGCAAGGTCTTCCCTGTCCTCTTGATTCTGCAGTAGCTTTCTACTTTCAGACTTTGTTGTGTTTGCTTTGCACTTACAAACACCACCCACTTCCATTTCTTCTCCTTCAGGGCATTTATTAGATGTGTCTGAGGTGGGGGACGTGTGGCTGTGCTGCATGCAGGTGCACCTGAGTTAGTTTTCACCTGGTGATTAAGTCAGAATGCTCTGGTATGGACTTAGCACAGGCTGGCAGTGGGCAGACAGGCTGAGAGAGTCCATGCCACTGGATTTCCATTGTGTCAGTTCATGTGGCCTTCACATCTCTAATTGCAAAGTAGATGTGGTCGAATGTCAGCCAGGGCAGGATGTCTGTGTTAGATCTAGTCTGCAGGATGGTCTTAGGTGCGGTTGGATCCAGTGCTGTGATTAAATGGGGGTTAATGCAAGACCTGTACCCTTTGTCCTGCACAATACTTTAGTCACTTAACTGCTCTTGAATACTGCTCTCTGTTAGCTACAGATCTGTTATCAAGAAAATACAGCATGTGTTATCCGTGCTCCTAAGACAGCAACGTCTCCTCAGTCCTAGGCTTTATGGAATCGAATGTTGGAGTCTAAGAACAGCAAACTGTGGGATCATTTCACTCATCTTTTAGGCCAGTGTGGTGACTTTTGCATTCAGCTTAGCATGCACGAGCCTGAGCTTCCAGCGCTGAAATCCAGGAGCTTTAGGATTAAAAAACCAAATCCTGTCCAATGTATTAGGAAAATATGCTAGACAAAATAGGAGCAGCCCACGTCAAAATCAAGGAATGTTCTCTTCCTTGCTTTGTAGACTGTGTGGGATACAAATAGCTTAGAGTCAGATGAATATCCTCTTGTGTAAATCTGGGCAGTACTAAATTATGTTTAGATTTATGTGCGGATTCTACAAAGTGTAACTCAAGGCAGAATTTGGCTTCAAGTGTTCTGCAGAGTAGACACAAAGATAGTATCATTGCTGTTACTATAAAGGTGGGCCAAAGGTTTGAATCTACATGAAGATTGTAGATTGAAAATGGTAGGGTGAAATCCTGTGAATTCCCTAAGAAGCTTGTGTTGAATTCATTATGTTCTGGGCTTCCCACTTTATTTTCTTGTTCTTTCCTGTCTTGTTCTTAACTGACTCTTGATGAAGACTAAGTTTGCATGAGTAGTCTTGTAACAGTTTGTTTGGTACCAGCATACCTGCAGTGATTACGTGCTGAAAATTCATTCTCGTCTCTGGCGTTAGTGCTTAAAAAGGAAAGAAAAAATTAGTTGTAACATATTAATATCTGTGTTTGTGTCAGTTTGAACTAAACCTGTTCATTGGTTTTGTCCTGATGCATATACAGTGCAGAGAAATAAGAAATGCATGCATTTGAAGGAAACACCCTTGAGAGGAGGAGGGTACGGTTAAATAGCAGGCAGGCACATTGAATGCTCTGACACTGAGGGGCTCTATTGATCTTGTACACAGCCACTGGAAATGATTGAAATCTGCAGGAAGCCCCTGTTTTATGAACCCTGGCTCCAAGTCCTAAATAACTACGAAACCTTGCAATTGATGAAGCAGGTAGTCAGAGTAACAAGTGTTGTACTGAGGAATCCCAAATCCCTTGGTGTTGCAAAGCCGTGTCAGCCTAGTAGAAGATACTCCATCCTGAACTTCTAATAGCTTATTTACAACCGTGCTTCACTTAAAGTAGCTTCTGAGGTTTAGAGAATTTGCTTAAGCTATAATGTTAAGTGTTATTAAGTGAAAACATATTCATTCCTCTGCAGCTATTATCACCGCCTTGCATAATGAACTCTATCAAAAAATTAAGGCAGGTACTGTAAATGGGGACGATGCCTTTGTAAAGCAGTAGTGCATCCATTTGGCCAGATGTTCTTGGGATCAGTTTTGATCTGGTTGCCTGCACTTGTAAGTTTTTATAGAGCATGATGCTGAACATCTGTACTTCAGAATGCCAGAGCCACCACATTGTAGCAGCATTTGGATGATGTGAATGGCTCTAGGCTCGATTCTTTATTTTTTTTTTTTTTTTAGAAGTTATTTATTTAGATGGTGCACTGTGCATGATGACATGACAAACAGAGGTAAATGCAGTTGAACATCTTAAGCTTTGCAGTCTAATATTAAAATATCAAGTTTGTCAATTTGGGGCATATGCATGGGTGAGATGATAATTGAACACTCAATTCACAGTGAGCCTAAGAGGATGAGCATGATAGTTGGTATTACCTCTGCCAGTCTGCAAATGAAACTGGTAAAGAACTTCTGCATTGAAGTCAAATGCATGAAATGAAGAACAAAAACATAAAAATAAACACTCTGTGATAAAGTGGGAAATACTGAGTAGTCTTGTAGATATTTTAGATGCTTTGTGATCTGTTTTTTTCCTTTGGCTCCTTTAATGACATGCATGACTTTCTGTTGACTAAATTTCTCTTGATTTTTTTCATATACTTCATAGAGTTTCTGTATTTGGTACAGACAATCCATATTGATATATTTACTACTGTTACATCCATTTGCGTGGAAGATGAAAGAAAAAAAAATGATGACTCTTCTGCTGTCAGAAAAAGTGGAGAAAGGCCATGTACCACAGGAAAAGAAAAATTAAAGATTAGTTCTTAATAGAATTTTTCTTGAAATTTCTCTGCACAAAGGTGGCATTATGAGAAGGTCTACTTTCTTTCCTTCAAGAAAAAGAACAATGATACAAAAAATGTTCCAGATCTGCTTGTAGAAGGAGTAAGGCAGCTTAACTTGTTTGGTTGCTGGGAGTGTAGAACAAGTATCACAGGGCTATTGTGATGGAAGTCATACCTCTAAATTATTGTGTTCATATTAAGGATCGTTTCCTTCTTCTTTACCTGTTTTTTTCCAATAATGTGTGCAAGACAAGCTCTCCTGTTATCTCCACATCTCCAGTGTTAAAGGTTACATCAGGGCTAGCCACTATTCCTGTTATTTACCTGTACTCTGATCAGCTCCCCTCTAAGGTGGAATTTACACCCCACTGCAGTTATATCAACACAGAGCTTGACCTCTGATGTGTCTCTTGACAGCTGTCAGAGTGGTGTTACACAGGGTCAGGAATCCTCAACTGCTGATGAAAATGTAATGTTCAATCGAATAAAAGCTGTACCCGATCACAGATTTTCAGTCAGGAGCTATTACAGGTCTGTTAGGAGAGGAGCCAACCATAGCAACTAAAAGTATGTCAGAGGAACAGCTTTTATCAAGGAATCTTTAGTGTATGTTTATTAAGGCAAGCAGCATAAATGTTTTCAAGTGCAATGCAATTGTCTTTAGGGGAAAGTGCAAAAGCTGTGAAGGATTCCAGACCATATGGGAAGCAGCAGAGTAGGAAACAGCCATCTGTGATGGAAACAGCCTGTGTAATTCAAAACAAGAAATAGGGCAAAGTGAGGAAGGAAGGGTGAGAGTAGATGTAGAAGTCCTTTTTCATGCACTGTCTTTGAGGGTATGTTATAAATGTAAGCAAGACACAGGACTGGGAGCTAATAGAGGAGCCTCAGAGTCCCAGGTCTGCTTGGATTCAGCTCCTCAGGAAAGAAGCAGTGTGTGCTCAGGCAGTGGATGGTAGGATGGCATCCTGCCCAGGCAGTGTGGAGCTCTGCAGTAGATGGAAGGTAAAACTGATGTACACAGAAAGAATTACATAAAATAGAAAACTGGTTTAAAGGGTGTCATATCTGGCTCATGGCCTTATTAATGGGATGGTAGTAGGTAACTTGGATCAGAAACACAGTGAGGAAATGAGGAACAGGTGCCACAACATGCCAGTCCATCTGACCACTGCTCCTGTACTCCAGATTTAAGAGCACCTAAGAAAGCTGTTAACAGGATATGGCTGAAACTATCTTCTTAAGGTGTCTGACTTTTTTTTAATAAATTCACCAAAGTGATGAATGCAAGTGAATTTTCCTTAAATGAAAAGGATATTAGCAGTGACACTAAGAGATGAGACTAAGGAGGTGAGTCGAGGGCTGAGAATTTCTGGTTTTCTGAAGCAATTACGAAAGATCCAAAGGGCCTGCCAAGTGGGAAGAAGGCATAACTACCTCTAAGACTTGTTTTTCTACAACATGGAGAATTGAGCAGACAAAACTCTTAAAGTATGTCTGCCAAAAGCCAAAGGTAGCAGAGACACCCCTAACAGTACCTCAAGTACTTGATACTGTTCCCTATGTTGTAATGAAAACAATTGTTTTCCATAGCAACTGCAGCAAAATGCTACATGTGTCTCCACTCAAACAGAGTGAAATGGAAGAATGGAAGGGGGAGTAAAGTGTTTCCCAGCACCAGCCAGATTTTCCAGCTTAATTCTTGTAACATTTCCATGAAACAAGTGGTTGTTGTTGGATTTTTTGGTTTGACTGCATCATGGGAGGAGCTTAAGGGCAGCTGAGAAATTTCTGTTCCCTTTTGAGATGTAGGAATTTGCAGCTACATAGAGAAAAGAAACATGTAAAGGTCTAGCTGAGAAAGTGTTCTCAAATGTGCTCTGGAGAGTATTTGTGACTTTATCAGCCCACAGCCACATCTGCTTTCTGTTTGATCTGAATCTTCACGGTTTTTGGTGGAATATACTCAAAGCCTTTTATTCCTCTGGTGCTCCCTGAGTGTGGTGATTTCATTTCCACAAATGAAGTCAGAGAAAGCCTGCTGTCTGATCCACAATCAGTCTTCAACATTTTGTATATGGATGGTTCCAATAGATTTCCTGCCTATGAAATTAAAAGTAGAAAGTCTCTGAGGTCAGCTGAGGAATCCTTTCAGGAAATGTATGCTGAGAGATAAGAAGGATCCAGTAGCCTTTTTGTGTTCACTGCAATATTTCCTAATTAAAATCAGTGAGCCAGGCTGTCAAGCCTTGTTTCTCTTCAGTGGGTGCCTGGAGGTCCCTTAGTTCAACGTCACAAGCTGGTGAGGTAAGGACTGTTTACCAGGATTTAATTTCAAGTGACTTTGAAGTCACTTTCAAGTGGCACCAGTGCACGGATGTCATCAGAGTCATTCTGACACACTGCTTTCTGATGGGATTTGGTTCTTTGCAGCCACTTAGGGAGCAGAAATTGTCCATGGTTTCTCAGTTGCAAGTGGGTTATGGTTGACTACCTTTGTGTGTCTGCTGTGTGCCAAGTTTAGGAGTAGTTGACACAATAGCCAGAGTGACTTTTGATCGAATAGATGTTTTTCAAATTCATCAGGTTTTCAGGATCCCCTCATCTTGGTGATAAGTTATTTTGTCTCCTCTCACAAAGCGTCCACCAGGGCATCAGTGTCTGTTTAGTCCTGACAAAGTGTTGGAAAATCTACTAAACATAATAGCACTCACTCTGTAGGAGTGGGACTGTTCTCATGAGTTTCAGACATTGTCATTAAACATCACAACTTCTGCTGTATGAGGAATCATGGAATTTCAGCCAGCACTTTGACTTACCTGCTGCATCTTGATGGTGCTGCAGATGCAGGGAACGGTTCCAAGCAAAGGATTTCAGGTCCTTCTACTTAGAAGGACCGCATTCAGTTCTGTATTCATAATGGAAATCCACTGACTGAACACCTGGAAGGTGATAACGTGTGTGCTGTGCTCCTCACAACAGTTTTGTCTGCTGAACTGCTGATACCTCTAGTGGTTTGTGAACTAACGTTTTGCTAAAATGACCAGCAGGACTATCCTGGATGGTACTTTGGCTCCTGCAGTGTCTCTGGCAGGTGTTGTTTGATTTTGTTCATTATTGTTGTCGGTCTAGTCTTTTACATTGTTTGATTTAGAAAACCTCTTTCCCCTCTCACGGGCACTCCTTCCCCTACCAAAAAAAAATAACCCAACAAAAAAAAGCCCACTTGCCTCACAAGATTGTGAAATTTGCCAGAATGCTTGCATTTGTGTTGACATTTTTTTCCTAAATTCAGTTAATTTCAAGATGTGTGCAGATTTCTTCACTTAAACTCAAAATTACCAACATTAATGGCTTCAGGTTGCTTTCAAAAGCTCCTTTTTGTTTTTCAGCCTACAAGAACATCATCAGAAAGTATTTATTCCAGACCAGGTTCCAGTATACCTGGCTCTCCAGGCCACACTATCTATGTAAGTATTCCTTCTGAGGAATAGGCTGCTTGCACATAAAACACTCACGCTGAAATGAATCACTGTTACACTGATGACAGTGCCTTTATTCTAGTGCTGTAATTGTTAATTCTCCAAGTAGCTTTTATAACTGTAGGACTTCAAGGGCAGAACAGGCCTTTTCCAGGTCACATTTCCCTTGGAAAGATACAGTAAATCTCTTGAAGTCACTTTGTGATGTGAAGAGGGACAGAAGGCAGACGGGTCATTTGGCTTTGTAAGGGTTATGTGAGGAGATCTGTGCACTTTAATACACAGTTTTGGAGAGATCTGCTGTCTGCACTGGCACGATGTGGGGAGGAGGGTCAGCTACACTGAAAGAAGCCTGGCTGATCCAACACCTTCTGTTTCAGAAGTCAGATGTTTTGGTTGTGAAAGGAAGGGTGGTTTGAATCTAAGATCAAAAATGCTGCTAACCATAATGCTGAATCACTGGTTTTGTAGATAACTTTGAGACTATATAGGTGAAAATGTAGTCTAAGACAGAGAAATCTATCAATTGCATATATAATAATACAGAAAAATCACCAAAATTACAAATCTCAACTCCTGAATTTATTTCTAGTTCTTCTGTGCATTTCAACAACCACAAAAATTAGCTGATGTATGAAAGGTGTTCACACTGCAGGTATCAAAACACAGTGCATGTCCTGGAGAACTGCCATTCTGCTGGTAATACCAACTTCATAAACTGTGGTGTGTGAAATGGAACTACTGCTCAAAATCAGTCTGTAGGACATCATGGTGGCTTAGATCAGAGTCTACAAAAAGTATCTATAGTTAGTTTTTTTGGATTAAGAATATCCAGACATATTTGTGTCTCATTAACAGACTTGTGGTAGAAATACTGCAGCAATAACATATCTTAATATACCTGCGTATTTTAAGGTTACATTTGTTTAAGGTGTTTTTTTAGTATCTGGTAAGTAAAATCTAAACAGATTTGAGGCTATTTTTAGACAGTGAATTTCCCAGCTATTTCAAAACTGTTCTGTATTGTTTCTAGTTTATGGCATTGCTTAAGAACCACCAAGACCAGTGGTTGTTAGAGAGCTTGGGAAGGCAAATGCATGTTAATCTGAAAATACTAGACCCTAGTACTCAGAAAGAACAGAACTGAATGTGGTTTCGTTATGCAGCCTACTATGAATAAATAAAATATCTAGTAGAAGTGTTGAAAAACAATTTGAGTATCTTCCTTCTATAAGGTAGGTAAAAATTTATGATGATATGTTTTAGAAATCTTTTTTTTTTTTTTTTATAAGGAAAGATATTAGATCTCTAAACTAAATATAAGGAGTCTTCCTAGCTCCTTCTGATGTATGTAGCTGGCTTTGGGACAGATTTCCTACTTCCCTTTTTTAACTAGTCAGGAGTTCCTTGCAGTCTTAGTGGAAGAAATAGTTGATGCCAGTGCCATGCAGTTGGTCAGCAGCGGATTTCTTAGTCAGAAGTCTGGGTATAGGATGAGTGATGAGTGCAATTTAATAATTTCATTTGGGAGTTTGGATACCCAGTCCTCACAGTCCTCCTTGTCTTTTTATTTCCTTTTAATAAGTTCTGTTTCCTCTTGTGTGCACAGTTATAAGTTGAATGCCTGTCTGTGGTCTTCAGCATGGAATCCCCTTGTAATCTCTGTAATCTGCAAACTAAATCGATGTTATTACACATTTTACGTATGGGAAAACAAGAGCAGAAAGGTGAAAATACTTGCCTGAGGCCACAAAACGAATCATTTGGAGAGCTGAGGTTTTCAGCTCACTACTGGGGATAAGAAACTTTTTTATATAGAACTATATATGCCATGTTCTTTCTTCCCTAACCCAAGAAAACAGTGCGAGCTGTTGCAGAGGAGGCCCGCTGGAGAAGAACAAGAAGCATTCACTTTGCATGTAGAGTGCCAAAAAGAGTTTTCCGTGGCAACAGTGTGACAACAAATACACAAAATCATAAATTGTGTGAAACAGAAAATTGCCAGTGCGTTTGTGTAAGTTAATTTATCTTCTGTCTTTGACCTTCAGGCAAAAGTAGACAATGAAATCCTTGATTACAAGGATTTAGCAGCCATTCCCAAAGTCAAGGCTATTTATGACATTGAACGTCCAGACCTAATTACTTATGAGCCATTCTACACTTCCGCCTACGAGGACAGACAGGAGAGACAGAGTCTTGGAGAGGTAATGAACCAACAAGCCACTCATTCCGCTGTGTGCTTTATGCAGAGCCTGCTTCGCTTCTAATTGACACTCCTAGATACTGTTGCTGCTGCTGTTCACAGTGCTTTTTGTCTGTTTTGTCTGGGGTTAATGGGAGCACTCATGATGATGCCTCGTGTGTGAAACTGCACAATTGGACACCTACATCGGTACCAGCCACTGGCAGAGGAATGGCAGGGGGGAGGCTTGCAGGCTGTCTCTGGGTGAATCCTCATAACTCTCATGGATATCCTCACCTTTGGGTACAGTGCAGAACGTGTGGCACAAGCCTCACGTTGTACTGGGGAGCACTGATACAACACAACGTGAGGAATATTGACAATATTCTATAGCAGAAGCAGGAGTAAGAGCAGCAGGATACTTTATCTCACACATACTGAAGGGAAATATATTGCTGGAGCACTTTGCCAGGCGTTCTGGATAAAATCTGAGCTGGGTCAGGATGAAGTGCTCTTCCACCTGGGAGAGCAGGTTAGCTGCATTATAGAAATACCTGCCTCACATTTTAAACTGCTGATATTTAGTAAGGATTCCTGTATCATGCAATTATAAGAGAAAGCTATCTCTATTTTCTATTTTTAAATTTGTATTTAAAGGTGTCTTTCAGATTGTTAGGGTCCCCAGTTTTCTCAGGTGAATTTCCATAGCTGCAGTTACTATTTACATGATACCAGTGCAGACTGTGAAGCAAGCTTTGTCATGTAATAGCATCTGTCTGTAAATCAGACTTCCTGAATGCAAATCTAAATGGACATGGAAGAGGATTTACCTCCTTGCAATCTCAGTGACTTTACTGATTGTAACTGAATTGAGTATGAATTTGAGCTGAGGAAAAAAGAATTACAGTAAATCATTCAAGCACCAGTGGCCTGTAGATGCCCAGATCAGTGTGACTGATAATCTGCTTTCTTAGCAGTGTTCTGCCCACCAGCAGGCCAGAGCTCCCTCAGTTCTTCTCCTTTGTCCTTTAGTGTTTTATAGGGTTAGTTTCTTAAACAATAACATGAGTTGGAAATTCAGGAGACTGTTCAGCTCAGGAATAAAATAAGAGTTTAACAGGTCAGGAACATTACAGAATTTTCCCCCTCTGGTTTATGTTGGTAGCGTATCCAGCTGGCACCTGGTTCAAAACCACTGAGTGGTCACCACTGGTGACCTCTGACCAATTCCAACAGGCCTGACCCATTCCACAAAACCCACTACAAACACAAGTTTCTTGTTAGTTACAGAGGAAAAACTACTTTCATCAGAGAAGGTGAACTATTTGTTAATCCTTAAAGGGAAGCTCCTCACTGACAAAGCAGTATGTGGGAAGCTGATAAAGCAGTATGGAGTAAGTTGCCTGCTTTTATGCTTGTCCTGGGAATAAGGAAAAACCTTTGAGGTTTCCTTATATCATATTTTCACCAGCATTTAATTCAGTTGATCTCTAGTGAGTACAGAAATTCATTCTGGAAACAGAAGAACTGGGTTTTTCACACAATGCTACTACTGACTTCTGTCACCTTGGGCAAGTTACCTCACCTCTTTGTGTCTGTTTCTCCTCCCTCCCCTTGCCCTAATGAGAACACAAGCCCATTGGGGTGGAGTGGTCCCTTACCTTGTGTTTGTGTTGTGATAGTCGAGTGACAACAATCTTGGTACATCTACGCCAGCCACCATCATCTTTAAAAAGCAAAGGAGGTGACATGTCTAGTCATGGCAGGGATTTGCAGACTTTTGAGTGATTTAACCTGCATTCTCTTTGCAAAGGGGGTGTGTGTGGTGGTGTTCAATAAAAGGGGACCCTGAGTTTATTCTTGTACACAAGAAATGCCCCTCACCATGATTTTAAAAAAAAAAAAAAATCAATAAAAGATCATCAGCTCTCAGCTAAGAAAGATTTATGTGTGTACAAGGGAAATGTGCAAGAGACACCAAAGTTAATCCAGGGATGGAGACAAACCTTAATTATGGGGAATGAGCTACAAGACAATGACATACTTTAGCCACAGAAAGTCAGAAAACACGGCATGAGACTGTCATCCTCATTGCAGTGGCAGGGAAATGCTCTGCCAGATTTCCCACCCCTGGTCCCTTCTTCAGGAGAATCCCGATGTTCGTGGAGCTAGGGAAGCAGCGCTCTCCCACAGCTCCCCCTCGCGGGTGAGCTCTGAGCGTGCACGAGATTAAAAGATACAAATGAGATTTGCAAATTAATTTTTGGTACCCGGGCTGTCCCTTAAGAGAGTGATAATGTTTCCAGAAACCTCCAGGTACTCAAGTTCTTCGGGTCCTGCCATTCTGCCCTGTGAGCAGCAACCCGATGAGTACTGAAGTCTTTTCTCAGCTCTGACCTTTCTTGCATATATATATACACACATATATATATATACAGAGAGAGAGAGAAAGAACTTTTTAGCTCTGTGTCCTTTACTTCATGTATTCTGTCTGTTGAAAGCACTGAACGTCCTTAACATCTTTCAGTAAAAAAGCTGTTGTAAAATGAGAAAACGATATTTTTCTAATGTGATAGATACTTCAAAATGGAGAAGGTATCCCACCTGGTATTTCAATTAAAAGACAGTTAAAATGGCATCAGTGAGAATTTGTGTTACAGAAGGACACCTACAAAGTTTGTAGAAAACTCCCCAGAGCACGAAGTGACTCGTGCAACTTCAGGTATTGGAGCATCCCCTCAGATGTCAAAGCAATAGAGCATTGGGCCTGTTGCAGTAGAGGTTCTACTGTAACTTTGGTCAGAATGGGTCTTTTTCCCATTCCCCTTCCTCTTCTTCCTCTTCCCTATCTGGAGTTATCACTGTATTTCCACGGGCTTACTGTTGTGGAAAGGAGCTGCTTTTCTCGGTCATGTGCACAGTGTATTTCAAACTGATTATAGCATAGACTCTGCAATACACCAGGCTTTAAAAGACCTCATAAACCCTGAAGAACCAAATATCCTTTGGCAGCCCCAGAGTTTGAGATATGACAGCTCACCTGTGCACAATAAACAGTAAATTGGCTGCAGAGTGTGGTTCCATTTCCCAAAAAGCAACGAGATGATGTCAGGTAGCGAGGGAGTAAACATATATGAAAGGAAAAAATACATGGATTCAGCAGGCTACTTTCTGGGCCACCTTCCCAGTCTTAGATTCCTGTGACTAGCTTTTACTGTAGCCATCACCTCAGCATCTAGGTAACCACAGCAGGTGATGGAAATTTGTTTGTTTAAAGTAACACATGAATTACTAGTAGATAAATGTGGGAATGCACCTCACAACATGTGCTTTTTTGATTCATATGAAGAGTTTTAGATTAGCCCTCATTTTTTGTGGAGAGTGATGCTCCAAAGCACTGTGTATGAGATGTTTCATATGGAGCAAACTTTTAGAGCTGTTGTTAGATTATAAGAACTAGAAAATAAGAATGTAAAAGACATTCAAGGCTTTGACTGAGAGTGGCAAAAGCAGCCTTTAAAAGCTTTATGGAAACTTGCTGAAAAGGAGACATTCTGTATCCAATAAAAAAATGTCACTCCTTTGTTTGGATACTTTGCATTCCCAGTGTCACCAGCTCTGTGAGATTTGGTGGTCTCTCAGTGCAAAATAAAAAGCTGGATATGTAATAGCAGAAATTTTGCATATGCTTTACACTACTGCTGTTGTACATTACTGTAGTAGTTAGACCAGAATCTGCAGTTTAGCTTCTGAGGTATTATATTAAAACTATATCATTCTGTAATAATTATGGTCTTATTTAAAAGCATAATCGCTTGCCCAGTTTATTATGACAAATAATATTGAAGTTTTGTGCACAAAGAAAATAATTAGGTCCTCATCTTCCAGCTTCAAATTGTCTGGTGATTAAAGGGCACATAACTGGTAATTATACATAGCCTTTATTCTTGATCATACCATCAACATACACATAATCATATGTCTCATTTCTAAAGGAATTTCCTGCCTCAGTTTCCCTACCTGTGTTATAGAAACTTTTCATAATATTGTGCATATTTCTGCCCACTGGCCTTTGTGCAGTTCTTTCAATACACTTGCTTGTAATTCCTGTCTGTTCTTACGTAACCCTGGAGGAACACAGAGGTTTAAAGGAGGTCATATCAAAGAAATGTTGATGACAACTACGTGCTCCTTTGCATGGGTATGAAATGTAAGGCCTTGGGGAGAAGAACATTTTTGCCAGAGTGTATGCGTTGGAGGAAAAACATGCTTCATCCTGGAAGATATTCTGTATTTTGATTTTCCATGCAAAGCTCTGAGATAAATTTATTTACTTTTGATTTCCATTTTAAAGATTTCTTCATAACAGGCATGGTTATTAAATTAATAACTCTTTCTGATTTTGATCTTCACAGCTATGTTTTAATTATCACAATGATTAGATGGCTGAGATGATCTTGCATGATACTTGACTGAATTAATCACGCTTATAAAGATTCTTCCAGAAACTTTAAACTTCAATGATTTATGGACCAGTTCCTGAACAATGTGGAAAAAGCAAGTTCCAGTGCTGGAATGGCCTCAGTAATTTCTGCGTTGCCACTTTGCATTGCTATATATCAGAGTACCTGCAGCGATGTTTAGATTACCATTTTCTGGCCCAGTGTATGCAATGATTTTTCATAACCCTATTTTTTATGTCTTTGCAGTCTCCAAGGACATTATCACCTACCCCTTCTGCAGAAGTAAGTCTGGTGGGAACCCTTGGGGGCAGTCTCTTACTGTGATTACACTTATTCACATGAGCAAATCCAGGTGTTGGTTTTGTTATCAGTCTGATTCCTCTCTGATTGCCACATAGATGTGTTTTCTTGATGTTGAAACTTAACAAAAATTATTTCTAAGGAGGAAACACTAAGCACTTATTGACAAATTGTACAAAACACGAAGCTGCCAGCTCCTTCTGTATTGCTGTTTGGAAAGCAGAGCCCTTTGTCCAGCAGGCGTCACTTCTGGTACATTCCTCCTTCCTGTGGCACAGGCAGATTCAGATCCTGGGAGCTGGATGATTTACATGAGATAAAATGCTACTCTAAGCAACTAAATGATAACCCATGTTATTGCTACTGAAACATTTGCAGTTTTGTCTTGAAGAAAACAGAACTATGGTTTAATTTGTTTTTGCATAGGAGTTAATTTGAACATCATAATGAAATGAAATGAATATATGAAACATTTGGGAAGTAATTTGTCAGGATACAATAGATACTATTGCTTATGCATTATCATTTTGGGGGTGGAGAGTGTTGCTTTTTTCCAACTTAAAAGTTGGACTGATTGCTACGTGCTTAAAAAGTGACTATAAAATTTCTTGTAGATCTTCATGCATTAACATTAGTCCTTTCCCTTTTGTCCTAGTTTGTTTTGCTTCGTGGGGTTTTTGGGGGATGGGTTTGTTTTGAGATGTTTTTTTTTTTTCTGTTTCTTTTCTTTTGTTGACTTTTTTCCCCAGGAAACCAAGTAAATTGAATTTTGCTGTACAAGAAGCTGTCATGTTTTCTGATACAAGGGGAATCTAATTTGTATAGTAAATACCTCTTGATGTGGCTAGTTGTGACACAGGGTAAATTTAGCCAGAGAACTCTGTGCTGTAGCTATTGAATTCTTGCTGCCAGGTTAACCAGCTGAAGGCAAGCTCATATGTCTTGTGCAGAACAGTGGAGTGACTCCCTAATGGAGTCAGGGAATGTGAGCAAATTTAGGATTATGTAGAATTTAACAGAAATTACACATGGAGTTGGAACCTTCCAAGACTGAACTCTGTCCTTGACTATAAAAATGGATTGGACTCTTTGGAACAGATCACTGGAAGAACAGTAATAATGAAGTAGGTTGAAAGTTTAAAGGGATGTTGCTATTTCAGTAGCTTCTGCTGATGCCTTCAGATCCATGGAAGTTAAGCTGCTGCTAAAGGTTTGTGATGTGCATTTACATCTATTAGTGAATGCTTTTTGTTCTGCAGGGTTACCAGGATGTTCGGGATCGCATGATCCACAGGTCTACAAGTCAGGGCTCCATCAATTCTCCCGTGTACAGTCGTCACAGCTACACACCCACCATGTCACGCTCCCCTCAGCATTTCCACAGACCAGGTAAGGGCAACTGCAGTAGGAGTATGTGTAAAACTGTTGTTTCTTTATTACGCCACTTACTGGGGCAGTGAAGCACTTGTCTCTTTTAGGAGTGAAAATTCAGGATTGAAAAATCGTGGCATATTTTAATATCTCTGTTTTCTACCTGGTTTTTTTTTTTTGTTCTCGACTGTCGTAGTCTTTTGCACTAGGCTAATGAGTGTTGCTTATGCCATAAATATGTATCTTCTGGTTTTGTTTCCAATCAGTTATTTTTTAAATATTTGTATGTTTCCGAAAGCAAGCAAAAATTTGCAGCATTGAATCATAAGCTTTATTCTAGAATTTGGAAAAAGTATCACATAGTGGAAACAAAAATTATGTCTTGACTATACAGAAATCAGTAATGTAGGTTTACTCCCTCCTAAAAAATTCACTTAAAGCTTGGTGCCACCATAGAACCTCATATTCAGCAGCAAAACACCCATATGTTCCAAATTGCTCGTCATTTTTTAAAGCACAGACTCATGGTTCACAAGGTATCTTTTTTAAAACCATAGGCAATTGCCTGGGAACACTTGAAAACACAAACTTCACTTTCTGGTTTAGCAGTGATGTACGAGTTCTGTGTGCAGTCTAGAAAATGTACAGGTCATTCAGGTTCCCAGTGCATTCAAAATTACCAGTTGTGTATATAAAAGCTAGACATAAAAATGAACTATTCATCCACACCCAAACAGCATAAAAATGTATCGTTAAATGCTATTCATTGAAGACTTTTCAAGACTGATTTTATTGTGTATGGTAATGAATTAAATCTTTGTGATCTGTTTTTAAATTAAGTGATACAATCGCAAGGTTTCATCTTCCTTGGTGATTACAGCTGAACAGTTGGGATGCCAAAAGCCCATATGCAATAGGAGCTGCATTTTTAAAATTAACGATTTATAATAGAGCCACCACTGTGGAACTTGAATGCTGCAGCCATTTCCTAGTGGGGGTGGGCTGAAAGCAGCCAATTGTGTCTGTCAGTGAATGCCTTATTTACAGGACCCAGGGGAGGTGGGACAGAAGCAAAATTGTGTCTGATACTTGGTGCTGACAACATGACTGTGTTTTAAGATGACGTTATAACTGAAACTGAAAGAGACTTGAAAGCGTGAAAAAGCTGCAAACTTCTGTCTCTTGATTCTGACGATTCTGAGGGGATTTTTCCATCTATATCAGTTGTATCAGAAACACGAACAAATCCAGGCCCTATACCAGACTCTACTGTGATTGAGTTTTACTGTCTGTATTCAGTCAAAGACCTTCCCCAGAAGCAGTCTCTGTTGATGTAACTCTTGTGATGGGCAGATGGGTGCAAGCCAGAGTTTGGATCCAAATGTAAAATCTTCAAAAGTCCACACCCTGAGGGATTTTCTGAGAAGATATTTGTTCAAACTTATCTCTGTTCAGATCTTCTCATCTTCGGCTCATTTGTTACTGTTCCTCACACGACACAGAAGCAATTCTGTCAAATTCATCATTTGATGTTTTCTACCCTGCTTTGGGGTAATCGCTAACACTACTTCAATAATTTTTCCTACAGTAATTATTTTCCTACAAAAAATCATGTTGAATAATAGCACTTGTATATTTACCTTTTTTCTCCTAATGGCACTTCTTTTCACCGTGTTATTTGCAAGAATAATTTCTGTCTGAATAAACCCAGTGGCCCCAGATAACTTCTCTTTTGCTCCCAGCTAGCCCTTGAGAGAGAAGTGAACTGCTGTATTGACGTTGTCAGCATAAGGTTCTTCAAAAATTGAGTGCTACAAGTTCTGAAAAAGTTTGCAGCCTTTTCCTCCTGCAGTGCCCTAGCTGATGTTGGCAGCATTTTTGGAATGTCTCAAAACAATGGAAAACAGCTTGCATGCCTCTTGGCTGACATTTTTTGGTCAGGCATTTTCCAAACCAGCTGCTTTCTTAACTAATTGAGCGTCAATGTTTGTGATGTTTGCATGCTGGTAGCAAGCTACTTTCAGGTAACAAGGCGTAGATCAGAAGCTCATTAAGCCAGTAATGTTATGCTTAATTAGTGATGCAGTTCAAATCTAAGCCTCTCTTCTAATACTTCCTGTAACTTTGTCTAACATTTATGAACCCTTTGGTACGTCTTTAACCTTTTTTTTTGTTTTTCTCCTTCCTTCTTTTCAGAATCCTAATTGTTCAATGCCTTTTTTCTTTCCCTTTCCTCTGAAGCCTCCTTCCCTGCCTTTCTCTTATTGTTTTTCTTTGTTTTCATTGTGTTCTGCCCCCCGACTCCCTGCTGCCGCAGAGCTGCTCCCTACTGGTGTGCAGCGCTTGTCATACCTGCGCACGAGCAGTCTCAGCTCCTCTCACCATGACTCCCGCCCCAACTCCCCCTTCCGACACCACTTCATCCCCCATGTCAAAGGTAAGGAGCCAGGCCTCTCCAGGGAGTACCCTCCAGGCTGGAGATTTATTAGCCTCCTGGCAGAGCTAATAAGGTGTTATCTCCGTTAAGGTGGTGGTTGGCTGTGTAGCTGAGCATGCCTCGAAATGTGCCGTTCGCACTTAGAACTACGATAGAATAGACATAATGTCCTTTTTTTTGGAGGAAATATGTCATTTCTAAGGGCCCTAGTTGAAGAGCCACCAAGCATTTACCTGGTAGAAATACACAGAAAACCATTGCCATGTGCTGTTTAGAACCTGTACGTGCCTAGTTTAGCTTCTTTCTAAAGCAGTACCTAACAATCACTTCAGCGGTTAGCATATCAAATTTAATTATTACTTCCACATTCTTAAAGCATGCATTGAAAAATTGATTACACTATTGCCTGAACGAGAGCAAGGCCATCAAAAATATGGAGAAGAAAAAGATTATATAAATAACAATGGCAACAATGCAGTTAATCTTTATTGTCCACATTGGCAATGATCAGTGCCCAGCAAAGTAAAATTAAAATCTGGGCCTCTCTTCACCTCATGTGAATTGGCAGGCTCTGCTAAAGGCAGTAGCGTTGCAAGGATTTACATTATTTAAGGAACTGATCTTTTTCTAAATCTTTTATTTCCCATTATTTGATTTGGAGGAAGATTGTTCTTTTATTGTATCCCTTCAAGGAACTCATTTTTAGCTCATTAAGATTTAGTTTTGTTTCTTACTTTCTGTGAATGTAGTTTTATGTTAATTTCTACTGGAGCACTCTGACTGGGCCATCTCTTCTGTTGGGGGAGAAGGTCACAGCTTATATCACCTACAAGAACTCAAAAAGAGGCAGCTGAGTTGAACACAGATTCTAATTTGCCACCATTGATGAATGTAGCTAATCATAAATTGGAGATAATCCAAAGTAGTTTCAGGAAAGTTGTTGCCATGAACCTTCAAGAAATGCTAATAAATCTCAACATCGTACGTCTTTAGGCATTCAAATTGCCATTACTAATTTTATTCTTGCCTTTTCTTAGATGATTTTTGTTAATCTGCACTGTCCACTTTCCTATTATGTCACTATTTTAAAAAATACCTCACTTAAAAAAATTGGGACCCTTAAAAATAGATACTGTGCTCATTTCAGCATGCAGTTAATTCATAGTCCTTGCAATTTCAACATTTCTTTGCTGTAAATAAAAATTAATGCTCACACTCTTTCAAGTGGCATTTTCATTCTTTTTCAGTTGAGAAAATAGTTTCTTCAACAGATAAATGAGAAGAACTATTGGAAATCCATGCTTATTGTTTTCAAAGAATTACCTGGTGTACAGATCAGGTGTCATCTCAGTTATTGGCACAAAAGGCCAAGTGGGATTGCAAGTGCGGTAGACAAAGGAGTGGGGATGGTTTTTATCAGATATGCCATGGAAGATGTTGTAAGAATCCCCAATTCTCTGAAGGCCTGAGCATCATTTCTGTGTCATAACTCGGCAAAGCTCCTGAAAGCTCAAGTTCATGTCATTGTGACAGTGTTCACCACCCAAGGATGTCATACATGTGAGAAGGGGCACGTAGCAGGTACCCATGTCTTGTCATTCACTTGTCTGAACTGAAAGAGCAGCCTTGAAATAGCTGGTTGAGAGAAAGAAGCATAGTGCAGCAGAAAAGGGAGATCATTCTGGCACTGGCTGTATCTAATGCAGCTCCCTGGTATTTTTACCTTTAAGGGATTGCTTTGGGTAATTCTGGGTGTCTGTTTTCAAAGTTTGAAGAACTGCATTCCTTTTTCTGGAATAACATTTCTGTGTCTAATAAGGAATTAGAACTTGTAAACATATCTGAAATGAGGACAGTAGCACTGTTTGGAGTTAATTAGATGTGATGGATACATTTTCAGTGATTCAAAAAAGAGGCATCATGTGATCTCCTTTTTACTTGGTCTGCATTTCTCACTTGTACTCTTAGCAAGAAGGTGAACTTGATGTAAGTTTTTAAGAAAGATTTCATAAAGCTATAGTTTTAGGGTTTTTTTCCTTTAAGAGTCATAAAATATGGATCGTGCCTAAACTGCTTTGGTAAAGGGGCATGGTTTCCAAATGACATAATGATAATTAAAGTGTCATATGACACATTACACTTCTGTTATTTTGTATAATCAAGCCCAAAAAGTTGATATTTAGACCAGTTGCAGTGTGTTTTCATACAACATAAGGCTTAAAGGCACAAATCAAGTAACTGGAGGAGTGAAAGGGACTAAATATGCCTCAGTAAGTCTTAGTGAGAGTTTGTTGATGGAACATACATGTTGAACAAGCTGGAAGAGTGTGTAATATGCATCAGCTTAGACTTCATCTAATCTGATTTGGTCTCCCCATTGAATTTGGTCTTGTCTCAATAAAGTACTGTACTGTCTTTGCTATGAAAGAATCAAAACAAGTCCACAAATGAAAGAAACCCTGACCCTTCTGAAATCAGAGACAAAAGTCTTATTGAGAGCCAGGATTTCATCTCACATGCCTAGAATTTTTCAAAGGCATTCAAGTATATTGCAAAGCTCCCATAAGATTTCCATATAGAGAGCTCCAAAATATTGTGTATTCCTTTGCTCACAAACCCTTTCTATGAGGAATCTACCCACGTTCGTAGTGAATTTGGGCCTCGGTTTTCACGGGTTCCTGCCTTCCTTCCTTGAGGCAGGTCTCTGAAATCATGTGCTCTCTGTACATGATAACCACATTTCCAGGGTTTTGTGGATGCAGCTGAAAGTTCTGCTCTGGAAAACAGCAGTTTTTGCTGCTCCATGATTTTCCGTTTTGTGTGTGAAATAAGAGCTACACATCCAGACAGGATGATGAATGACAACTTGACAAAATCTGGATAGGACTTTTGAGCTTTTGAGCTTATTTTCCTATGTTTATTGAGAAGTAGAGCAACTAGACTGCAAGCTGACAGAAGGCTCAGTGTTGGTTTGCCTGTGGGTTTTCTGTCCTGATTCTGTGAACTGAGCTAGTGAATCACACAGTGAGCCCAGTGGAGAGCACTTCAGAAGGCAGCAGGAACCTGCATTACACTGTGCAGTGTACAGGCAAACAGTTATATTCCTGACTGCTATGGCAACATGGTTAACAAATTGAGCTTGAGAAAACAAGAACTACCTGATGGAGCAAAGAGAATGAAAGAAAGAAGAAAAGCCTCTGAATTTCACTTCTGAGGCTTCTGTGCTCTAGGGGTTGATTTTTATGTTAAGTTTATTCTGTTATTTCTTAACCTCCAACCCCCCAACCTACAAAAACACACATATTCAACTTTATGTTGAATATGGGAGCTAGTTCTTTCTGTGGTGTTGGTGAACTGGAGAGCTCTTGTTGCTTTGGGGAGTTAACAGTAGTTATGGCATGTCTGAGACAGTAAGAGAGAGATTTTCCTGTGCAGGCACAGCAAGGAACCCAAATTCAGGGCATGCAGAGCCCCTACTTTTATGTAAAGCTGCAAGCAGGCCCTGGGAGGCAGGTGCAGGCAGCCAGGAGCTCTGCTGGCCTGTGTGCATGTGCACATTCTGCTGATGTTGGCACTGCTTCCATAAACTGTGGGTGATTTTACAGCTGCATCTGAAGCACTTAAGCCTCGTTATGAGTGTGGTCTCCTCAGGGATGGTCTAATGAGAAGCTAAGTAGATGAACCATTCCCTCCTGCAGAGGTTGGAGGTAATGAGTCTGCCATCCTAGAAAGTGTAAAGGAGAGTTATTTGTCACTACTGGTAGGAGTAATTCGGAAGAGAGAGACCGCACAGGAACCCCAGGAAATACAAGCCAGCAGAGACACCTGTAAAGCATCATGTGCTTTACAGGATGGTACCACAGTAATTGTCTGGTACTGGATGCATTATACAGCATTACCAGTTCCCTCTAAACAAATGATCTGCGTCCCAGATACAAGATTAGCCAGCACACATTTATGGGTGTGAGCTACTAAGTTGTTGTCTGGTTGAAGCAGAGATGGGTATAAGAAGGGTTTCTTACCTGTATTTTTAGGTTTGCAAATTGGACATGCCCACATTTTGACTCCCAGTTCCCAACAGGTAAAATGTATTTGTGACTCCTCTGTTGTGACAAGTCCACAGGTCAATAAATCCCTTTTGTTTCTTCTCTTTCATTGAGTGTACTAATTGCTAATGGAAGCAGAAGGGTGGAGAGGCATGTCTCTATATCTTGAGACTATATCAATATTGATGGGGTTTTTTTCCCTTATAGAAAATGATTTTGCTGAAAAGTGACTCATAATTTCTCAGTACAAACATAAGTAAAATCAGCTTAACCTAGTGAGGCGTTTCACCATCACAATATCTCAAAGGCTGGAGAAGTAGAACACACTATTGGAATTGGTAAGTAAAGGACCATAGATTGAGATATGACAAAAAGGTTTTAATTAATCATTCATACTGCTTTTCAGAGTTGGTAGACCTAGCACTTACTGTTACAGAAGCTCAGCATCGCTGCCCCTGAAGTAGAAAACCACTATCAAGTCATGTGGTTGAAAGAACATCATGTCTTTTAGGGCTGAAATGTCAAAGTGGTAAATATAGAATTTTGCACATGCATTCTCCTGGAAAAATTTTGTACAACCAAGCCCCCTGAAATGGGCTTGTAATTTATAAAACATGTATATGCAGATGGGCTAACTTGTATACTGGCAGAGGCCTCTGTGGCACATCTCTTTCAGCAACATTTCTAAAGAGCATTTTCTTCTCCCTTTTGGTGCCTTTTAGATTGGCACATGACTGTTCAAGTAAAAGGATTTTTTTGTGTAAATTGTAAAGAAAACTTTTTTTCTTCTCCCACCCCAAATGTATAAACAAGAAATGGGCTGAGTCCAAGGTTTTGGGTTTTCTAACAGGACATAGGGAACCTGTAGGTGAAAGGAGGCCTGCAATTTCCTTTTTCTTGGGTTTTATAGCTCTCCTGTACTTGTTATCATTCTCACCACCCCCCTACTCCATTTTTCTTTTCTTAATCAGCTTTCCTATGGTTTTTTAAGCCCTTGTGCATATTTGAAAAATGGAAGGGGCTCAATGTTCCCCTACTTTTCACTATTGTGATCACCCCCACTCATGTAAAATAAGCACCCATGTGGATGGTTGTCCCTAGTATGAAAAATGGCACAGTGTAAAAAGCAGTAGCATTTTTTTAAGGTACACACACAGCCATGTGTTTGGATATCTGGCTGCTAAGTCCTGATACTTGGGGATCAACCAGCATGGTTCTGCAACTTGCTCTGGCAAGACATAGGAACTCTCAGGGCCATTGGATTGCTGAGGTGCATTGTTAGGAGGCAAAGCAGTCCCAGTAAGAGTAATCCCACAAGTGGAACAAATAGCATGTGCAAAATGGAACTAAAGCTTTTAGGCGTTAGATTCAGGTTTGCTAAATCAGCAGTGGTGAAGTATTGTCATCAGAGCCCAGTTTGGCATTGGCAGAGATTTGGAGGGGCACCAGCGATGTGGGTGCAGCCACCAGATGGGCTGCACTGCTTTACAAATTATTTTGGCATATCAGAATTTTCCTAAACCAGTGAAAGAGTGTGTAATGAACAGTTATGCCTTTTGATATGGGCCAAGTGACCTAACAGCTATTTTCTGTTTCTAGTTTCTGTACACTTTCAGTTTAGTGAACTGTAGTAACTGCCAGCATCTGCTTCTATCTGCTTTCGGTTTGCATATCAAATACTGTGCTCCATGTTTGTGCCTTTGAATTCCAAATATCAATCTCCATACTACAAATTGATTGCCAAGTAACCTTCCATTCTTCTTTTCCACACTGCCCATCTAAGCACCAGCTCTGAGCACACAGCTCCTGCCTGCATGCCATCAGAATGAGTCTGAGCTGCTCAAACCTCAACTCCAGCCTGAACATGAATTTTTGTCTCTGCAGGAATATCAGGGGGATAAAAAAAGTCACCAGGGCTACCAGTTCTCCTTATTGTTTGTATTTATATTTTTGGTTCGACTTCTTTTCTTCCTGGAAGTTTTGATTCCACCAGTTTTGTTTGGGTGTGATTGGGCTTGCTTCTTTTTTTTTTCTTTATTTTTTTAATTTATTTTATTTTTTTTTAATCGCTCTCCCTCTTCTCATTTTGTTTTCTCCATTTTTTCATTGGAGGCAATGAGCCGTCCAGCGGTCGGAACTCCCCTGTCCCCTATCGGCCTGACAGTCGCCCTCTCACTCCAACTTACGCTCAGGCCCCTAAACATTTCCATGTTCCAGGTAGGAGCTGGCACTGTACGTGTCTCGGTGTTCCTGTCACAGTGTAGAATGTAGCCTTTGTAACTTCTGTCTCGTCTCCATCGTTTCACGCTGTTTACCATGGGTTTCACCCTCAGGGTTTGGAACTGCTTCTCGGCTTGCTGAGAGGAGTAGTGCCTTAAGAAACACGGGGCTTCCTTGGGATTTTCGCCTGTTCTGTTGGTCGGGCGTTTCGCTGTTAGAATGTCTTGGTTTTCAGAGTCTGGTTTTGGCCTGTGAGCTGTATAGGAGCTATGTAGGGCTTGATTTTTCTCCCAGTTGCACCAGTTGAGCACCAGCATAGCTCTTTTAATTCTAGGAGTTGGTTTTGATTGACCAATCTTGATGCAGAAAAGAGGTGGCCAGTGAGCCTTTATGCATGAACATTGCGTATGTTGTTCACTCAGAATGCTGTGACTTGTTCCGATCTTGAACCCAACAGTTCTAGTTTAGTGTTCCTTTTTTTTTAAAGCAGGGGAGGATGTTTCTTTAGTTGTTTTGTGCAGTGGCATGGTGTCCTCAGATGTACCTGCAGATCCACAAGTGTATATATGCCTTGGGATGTCCTCTCTATAAAAGGCAGTCTCTGTTTTGAAGTGAGCAGCACAGTTATTCCAGCATCTGAGAAGATCATCTATCTTGGATTTTGATGGGATGAGGCTGTGTCCCCATAGGGTTGTGGACGTGCATCTGACTGCATCAGTGCTACCTGAAAGCCTTATTATATCCAGTTATTCTTCAGGTCCCCTGCAGCCTAGCGTCCCTCCCTCCCCACTGCCAGAGGTTACTGCTCTTCCTCCATTCCTCCAATCTGGCAAATAAACTGTTTGTGCTCACTGCCTTCAGTCCCAGCGTGACCTGGCCTGGCTAAGGTTGGCTGGTTTAACCGCTTAAGCTAACCTGGCTCACTTGGACTTGTGTCAGCTGAAGCATGAACAGCTGTAAATAACCTCGAGCACGGTGGGAGAGTGGTGCAGCCACAGAAGGAGCTGTGCTCCTGTCCCACTCACAGCTTCGTGGTGTAGATGTGCGCAAAAGCACTGCATGACTACCCTGGTGATGTTTGTACCTATTTGCTGGTCAAGCGGCCGTAACAGATCACACACGGGAGTGAGATACCACAGTGTCTTTGAGTGCAATGCTTTTGCCTGCATAATTAAGGATGTAGGGCTTTGCAGAGCAAAATTTGCCTCGGTTTCAGTAGATTTTTAGGGTGAGCTTTCCCTAATGCCAAAGGCAGAGTTGTCTTCTGTAGCGCTTTAATTGGATCTGTGATACACCGCATGTATTTCTGAAATTCCTTTTCATCTTTCATTCTGTTGTAACTGAAAACTTTTTTCAGGCAGAACAAAGTAGCAAAATGGGTTTCTGATGTTAATTTGCTAGTTCCCAGTGGCTCATTTTGGTCTTCTAATGAGACTTTGGCACATTTTTTCACTGTAGCGTTGATTTTGGATTAACATTTGTATTTGTAGCTGTGCTGAATACATGAAGTGTTGGCTTGGGTGGGAAGGTAGTTTAGAACGAAATGGTTCCTGTCCTAGATTATTGTTTTTAAAAATGTGGTATCTTTCAGACATGCTGTAGAAGTACTGCATTAGAGTTCTGGGAAGTTTTTTTATTCTGATTTACGTAGATGATATGCAATGTGGTGGGCCTTATATGAAAAAGTCACAAAAAAAAAAGTCACAAAAAAAGTAATAAAATCTGTCTTTGTGGTTTGAGAATCAGTAGCATATCAGCTAACACTGCATAAAGCATCCCTTTTGACTCACTGAAGTGTGGCTGTTCAAAACAGTGTCCTAGGCAGCTATTTTGTGCTCTGGATTTTGAAGTGAATTGTAGGCTCACTGCATTCTCCTCTGCTCAATCCAGCCAGTCAGCTGGAAAGAAAATTGAGCTGAAGCACAATTTTCCCCAGAAGTTATTTGGAGTAGTTTTCCCCAAATGGCTTCTATCTTCACCATTGAAATGTCTTGCCTGCTTACATTTCTCCTCTAACTTTTATTCCACTTTAAAATCATGATTTGATGCATCTACATGTTGCAGAATCAGCTCCAAAGGACTTCATACCACATGTCTTTGACTTTTCACTTGTTCTTATGTTTTCTTTTCTTTAAGTAATCTGATTTTGTATAATACTAGAAATAGCTTTCTGGCTTTTTCTTGTTTACGTCCTTGATTTGGTCTGTCTTTTGTTTTAGTGCTGGATTTACCTTTACCTACAACTGAAGTAGTTTTCATATTCCTTTTTTTCTGTGTCTTAATATCACAGATCAAGGTGTCAACATTTACAGGAAACCGCCCATCTACAAACAGCACGGTAAATGATCTTTTCCTTTTTATTTCAAAACTGGAATGTCAACTGAATTGTAAGGTGTGCAGATTAGTGAAAAGCATTCAGCTTTTACTTTGTAATCATAAGAGTTTAGTAGTCAAAGTTTGAAACAGCTGTTATTGCATGTCCTGCCAAGTGGTTATATTTTAAAGCATGTTGTTTCGTTTGGATCATATGGTTTAATCTGGATTGATGTGGATATTAATGGCAAAATTGCCACTAGCTGGGATTTTGCTGTTTCTTTAGCATTATGATGCCTTTCAGTATTTCACTTCTTTAAATTTATATTTTCAAAATACAGGTACTGGTCATGTTAAAATGCATTAACAACAAACTCTTCTCTGACAGGCAATTCTTGCAATATCCTTACTTCAAACAGACACAGTATAATTTACCTAAACAGCAAAGATTGAGATGCTGTTATCAGACTGGAATTCTGAATGAATCTGTGGCTTCAAATAAGAATCTTTAATTAGTGAAGGAATTACAGGTGACAGTTATCCACTGAGAGGGACTGATTTGATTCTCAGGCCCTGTGAGACAGCTCAGGTAGTACACTGTACTTGTTTTTCCAGGTGTTTGGATTCTGAGTTGGATGGCAGTGTTAGTGAACTAAGCTTCTTGGTGCTGATGTTGCTATAGCAAGTCTGAAATGCCAATGAGGGCAGAAGGCCACTGCCTCACCTGTCATTAGTACTGCAGGACAAGGTCCTGTTACAATGGGGTGTGTTCACTCTTCCCTCCTGCTGTGAACACAAAATTGTGCATAGGAGATGATTTTTATTTACTGTGGTGAAAGACAGATGACTCCACTTCTTAAAGACTCTGAGTTTGCATCCTTTTGCAGACTTTTTATCCAGTGAAGTGTATTTAGGGTTAAGTGGCAAATTGGCAGGTACTACAGGGTTTAGATGAACAGTTGCCTGAGAGCCATTGAACTGAGCTGAGTAGGAAAGCCCAGAAGTCCATTCTGCAGTCAGGAATTGCAACTTACACTGCTCTGGTATTGCATCAGGATTTTTTCCTTTCTTTTTTTTTTTTTTTTTTAAGTTTCAAACCATATGCTCATTTTGGAAAAAGTCTTAACATTGTTTCTGTTTATTTTTATGGTTTTAATGTATCTCCTCACCTCCCATTAACATGTGAATGTTTAACCTCTGACATCACCAATTCTAATACGTAAGTACTGTTTGAAGTCATGCTTTTGTAAACTCTGACCAGCTTCCTCCATGCCTGCAATTATGCTTAGGTTTTCCCAGTCATAAACTGGTCAGAATTACCAATGATATCTAATACTGATGTTCCTAAACTGCCCTGAACGTGGTGGATGAGCGCACAGTGCATCACTTCGTTAACAGATGTCTTTCTGTTTTTAAACCAAAAAGAGAAAAGGAAAAAAAGTCCAGAAACCCTTGCTCCTGATACAATAGCTTCTTATAACCGAAGGTGATTTGAGCTAACAGTTTGCACCTTAAGAAGTGGTTAAGGCTGTGTTTAATGTAAACTGAATCCTATTGGATTTTTTTTTTCTTTTTTACGTCAAGAAGTGAAAACCATAATGCACATCCTCACATGCTTTTATGAGACTTTGGCTTAGAATGGAATCTTAAGTGGATGCCCATGGCTGAGCTGTTTTATTGGTGAGGTTCAGTGCATTGCAAGTGCCTTTCCCTGCCAAGTTGATCTGAATGCAGTTGAGTATTTATTAATAAGTTCGCATCTGCTTTTACTACTACTGCATGCTATAAGCAAGAGCATGCAGCAGAAAAAAAAAGTCCCCTAGTTAAATATATTTGTTTCAGGTTTCTATTTTTTGTTTGCTTTGCAGCTTTTCACAGAAATATAGGAAATAATTATCATCAGTAGTGTTAAAATTAGTACTGTTCCTCTGAACTATTTGTTTTCTTGCCCTAGAGGGAAGACAGATCAGTACATAAGTCTGAGTTCATCTTTATTAATAATCAGCTGTTCTTAGGAGATATTGGCAAATAGTCTCAGGGTGAATTTTTTCACTCTTGACTAATCATTCTTACACTGTGAAACCCTAGTAAAATCCAAAACTGATTTGGGGTTATTTTGGGGGTGGGAATGTGGGAGGAGAGGAGGGTTTGATTCCAACCTATTGGCAAGAGAAAGGCATTGCCTTGCTTCAAATTGCAATTAGAACAGCAAAACATGAAAATGTTTGCTTTTGAAAATTAACTTCTTGTCAAGAGTAAAATTTTGCCAGAATAAGGAAGACCTTTGTATTGATTGATACAGATTATTACATAGCTAAGTTCCCTGATTGCCATCTAGATGCAGCTGCCTTGGCAGCACAGAGCAAGTCCTCCGAGGATATCATCAAGTCCTCCAAGTTCCCAGCAGCTCACGCACCAGCACCCAACGAGATACCAAAGATTGAGACGGACCACTGGCCAGGTCCTCCCTCCCTTGCTGCCATAGGTATGCGAAAGCAAACGGTGCAACGATGCGGCTTGAAAGGTACTGGTAACCAAAGCAGGTTAATAGTGGAGCTGAAAAAACGGGTAATGAAGGTGGTGTCCACTCCAGATGTTCACCACGAAGTGCAGCTGTTCTGGTGAGACGGCTGAATGTCTGAATCAGAAACTATTGAATTTGGCTGAGTAGAAGAGGTTTTGCTAGAGGACTTTGGAGCTGATCACACAGATTAACCCACAGGAAGATTTTGTGAACTCCAGTGTAGTAGCCTAAAAAAATGTGGTGTGTCACACAAGCCTGACTTCTTTCAGTTATTCTATTTAAATTTTTAGTCCTAAGCTAATAGCAATTATGCCACAGAAAATATTATTGCTTCCAACCACACGACTAATTTCATGGCAAGAAACAACATCTGAATTGGAACAATTAACAGACTAAATAAGTCCTCGTTTTCAGAGTTATTGTTTCTACAGACCTTGTATTTTTCTTCTGTGTTGTAGCACTAAACATCTCTCTCTTTTTTTTTCTTTAATTCATGTGCATTATCATTTTAGGTTTTTTTTTACTTTGTTTTTTTCCTCTGTTAATTTTTATTTACCCCTGTAGCATAAAATAAGCTATCTAGCCTGGTTCATTCATGAAGACATGTTTGAAGCACTAAGGTGTTGCTCATTTTGGGTTTCTGTGAAGGAATGTATGGCTTTCATCACAATGGGATCTTCAGAGAAGTGCTGGGAGAGGAGACACAGGGTGGGAGAGCTCGGTGACTGACTGAAGGGGCTGCACATGCAGCAGCAATTTTTTGAACACGTAGATAGGATTGCAGCCTGACAAACATGAGTTACAGGGATAAAACATCTGCATATTTGAAACATCTACATACTTGAAACACTGAGTTTGTCCAGCATAGGGTTGGTGAATAGCTATATCAGATAGAGCCTGTGAAATAAAAAATACAACTGCTGTCTAAATGCTTGCAACAATATCACATTCTGTATATTCATAGAAAAGTCCTGGCATCCAAATTGGATTATTTCTTAAGAATATTCAAGAAAATAAAAGTTATTCAATAAAACCTAAGGAACTAAAAGGTAGAACACCTGTGTCTTAATTAATTTTAGCATTATCCAATGGATCAAATTACTTCATTTTAGACTAAAAATAATGCCTTGTTTATTTCAAATATGAGTATTCATTTAGGAGACTAATGTAGTTTAATTTTCCATTTGAAATGTTAATTCAGATTTACTTTTCTGAATCTGGATAAATGTGTAAATGTAAATCAGAGTTTAAGTTTTCAGTTCCTGATCTAGTTACTGGTGCTATTAAACCCCGTGTTTCCAGAACTAGCAGTGTGATCTCCTTTTCTCTAATACACTGAATCCTGGTTTTGTATCCAGGACCATTGCTTGGTTTGGAGCTCATGTGCAGTTTAAGTTCTTGTTTATTTTACGGCAAGCCTGATAACCATAGGGCAGGCTATCCAAGTGAGTTTTGTTAAGAGTGAGTTTTGAAAAAGTCTTTTGACTTTGCAAGAAATTACTGCTCTGTTTATTCAGCAAATCAGACTGACCAGTACTTTGAACTGGCGTTGAAATCTTCAAGCTGTGGTTGAACTGGTACACAAAGCTGTCTCTGTACTGTGGTTTTATGGATGCAGGAGCTGACATGAGACGCAGATCAAGTGGCAGAGAGGAAGATGATGAGGAGCTACAGAGGCGCCGGCAGCTGCAGGAGGAGCAGCTCATGAAGGTGGTTATGAGTTTGTCTTCACGCTATTTCTGAACACCTTGCAAAAAGGGCCCCTTTGCTCTCTGTAAGCTATTTCTACCACTGTCTTGATCAGCTTTATTTTACTGATATATCTTTTAATTGCCATTTATAGCTCAACTCTGGTCTGGGGCAGTTAATATTGAAAGAAGAGATGGAAAAGGAGAGTCGCGGTAGGTCAGCCCTTTCTGCCAGTCGTTACGATTCTCCAGGTAATTCCTGTAGGCAATAGAGCTAATAATGAACAGTGAATAATAAACACCATGTTTACACATATCAGGCAGTGTCCCAGAAGAGAGACAACTTGATATATGTGTGGTGATCTGCCCTGAAAGAGTGGCCTAATTCATTACCTGGTTTTGGTGAGGGTAGGAGTGTGATGGTTGGATTTTAATTGGAAAAAATATGAAGTTTAGGATTTTCAGGCAATTTTAAAGGAGAGGGGTGTTCTAATATAGATAAGGAGTGAGCTTAAGTGTTTGGTGACTGTCACATCACATACATTCTGATAGGCTGGGCTATTCACATACAATAGCACCTTTTACTTAAACTGATGGTTCTTATTCCTATTTAGTCTCTTCTCCCAGGGAAAGAAAATCAGCAACATTGACCAGAGGAGCTGCATATTTTGAACACAGCCAGAATTTTGACCTTGGCTGACATTTTGATTTGGGTGTATTCTGTTCCAGAGCAAAAGCAAAAAAGTTAACTTTGCTTAATTGGTGGCTTAGAATCTTTGCCTTATCCCACATTTTAATATACATTTGTGGCCTTCTCAGACCTCCAGTGAAGGATTTGGTGATTTTATTCCACTCTTTTCATTTGCTGTGCATTGTAACTGTAGCTGTACTTTGAGTCAAGAAGGGACAAGATGAGTCTCTTTGGAGTCTCTGGAGGAACTGCCAAGCAGACCAAGATTTCCTTGTGTTCCCTCTTGTAGAAGTGTGTTACCTTGATGGCCTTGGAGAGGATGCCTGTGGCTCTCCCTCACTGTCTGTAATTTTTACAGGGCCAGAATCTACCTGCTCAACTTGGAGCTTTTGATTTTTTTATCAACCTTAGCACAGGATGGAGGACTTCTTTATAAGAGATGTGCCCGTCCCTCTTTGAAGTGATAATCAGTGCAGTCATCAATTGCCTTTTGTGGAATTGGTGGCACCTTTCCCAAAGCTGCTAATTGTTGGCAGCAACAATGCCTCAGGTTCTACATTCCCCACCCTTCTCTGGTAAAAATAACATTAAAAAACACAAAAAATTGCCTTTTTATTTGGAGGATCTTCTCTGAAGGAGCTGTATTAACTGGAGAGTTGCTATTGATCACTATGCTAACAATCTTTATATTTGTCCATGTTTTTATCTGTGTTTGAAAGCACACCCTTGACAGTTCAATAAGTATAATTTTGGTTCAGAATGCCAAATTCTCAACTTGTTTGAATTCATTTAGCACTGCCCATTCCCATAGTTCTCCTATTGAAGTCAGTATCCAAACATCTGTCAGCTACAGAGTTGCAGGACCAAAACTAAGACCCTTTTCTCCTTTGTAGCAACAAGTGGCAAGCTCCAGCATTTGAACAAGGGAGGATGGAGTGTGCTGGTCACATGCATCTTGGCTTGGGCAGCAGCAGAAACTGGGAGCATGAGTGCAATAATCATTGAGTAGGAAGGATAGACAGGAAATTCATGAAAGGTTCAGAGGGTATAATGATATATAAACCACATGTGCCACTTAGGAGAGTGGAGCTGAATGGACCTGCATGGCAGACTTAACAGGAAACCGGTCCAAATACTGCTGATCTTGGATTCTCCTTGTGCTTTATCTTGGTCCCATCTTAAGTTGCATGGGAAAACTTTATCTAGATAAGGAATAAAAAGTTATTTTGGTGCTGTTGGCTGATCCCTGAGCGTTACTTTCAGCTCTAGTGGAGAATATTTTGATTTTGACCCTGGCAAAACCACAGTGCCCTTCCTTGATGACCTGCCACCATGGCATGATAAAAGCTGCGTGTGATGTGTGAAAGTTTGTGTTGAGTTTGGAGCTGAAAGATTAGTTTCTTAAAGTTAGTGTGTCTCAGTTGGTTGTATATCTGCTTGACTACTTTAACTGTGTATTTTGTGCTAGTTCGTTCCACAAATGTTCTAATTTTTGAGTTTCTGTGGGATTTTTCCAGTAAAATATTTTCCCTTCCTCATCCAACAGCACATGCTTCAGCCTCCAAAACCTCTTCTCTCCCTGGGTATGGAAAAAATGGACTTCACAGGGTAAGAAGATGGTGATTTTGACAAGTGAAAGGTGGCTTTAATTATCCATGATATTTATTTCCATATTAACTGCATTGGATTTTCAGTTTGATTAACGTTTCTTATAAGACCAGCTGAAGTCAGACAAAACCTAATTTCTCCTCCCACAAACATTGCTAGGAAGACAAGAAACCAATGCAAGAAATGTTGTGAAAATTCAGAGAGAAGTAAAAGATGTAAAGCAATTTATTTTGTCCCATATACCATCCTGCTTGTGAAGTCATGAGCTGTGAATTTATGTGCGTATCCCTCTTTTCCTTTTACAGCCGGTGTCCACAGATTTTGGTCAGTACAACAGTTACGGGGATGTGAGTGGTGCTGTTAGAGGTAAGGCTGAGGAGCCTTTTTGTTATGATGTTGGATCATTTCTGCAGGTTTACTTTAAAGCTGTGGGTGTGGTTACTTTGTGTTTGCTCAGTACTTTTTAACTTCCCCTGGTAAACTTGACAGTTAACTCAAACAGTTCAAATGCCTCTAGGAAATGTTGGGTTCATTTTGCCAAATTTGCTGTGTGGAACTGCTCTTGTTTATGCCAAGGGATTGCTTTAGCATTGGATCAGATTGAAAGTGAGTAACGTGTGTTATCAGGCATATGAACTGAGTTCTGATATGGTGTTTTCTGTCTCTGAAAGTCACCATCCAGTGTGCAGTCTGAAGAATGTGCCACAGTGAAGAAAGGAGGATAGTGCCTTCTAATCCCCACTGCTACTCATGATCTTCATTGTGACTGAGCTAGATGTGGTATCAGTCATGGCCTGATAAAAATTGACAATAATATTTGTGAAAGTTATGACACTTTAAGAGTTAATGTTTTGAAATGTTTAGAGTGAGAGAGTTATTTTCCAAAGTGAGATTGATCCTGACTATCTTAGATACCTTATGGTCAGGCATCTTCTGTTGGTGCTTGTGTCTCTTAATAGGCTGTGGATGAATCTAGACAGCTCCCTTGTGACAGAAGGTACTTGAGCTGAATCCTGCTCTACACATTTGAATTTTAATTGGCTCTTTATTCACTTGATTGTGACTGTGGATCTCTTCATATTTCCAAAGTGAGCTGCTTTTCCTGAATGAGAAGCCTGCTCAAAATAAAAAGGACTGCAATACTTGGAGTGTTTGAATCTACAAATTAAGTCCAAAATTAGGAAGGTTTCTGGCCCTAGAGAATCAGGTGGGATTTTGGAAAGATCAGGTAGATCAGAAGACACAAGGATTATCTGGTAGGTTGTCACTGATTCCTGTTCTTCCACACTCCAAAGCTGATGAGATTTCTCTTTTGCTTTTCAGATTTCCAGGTAGAGTACGGGTTTTCATCAATCAACTGACAGCAGAACCTAGAGCATCTACTTGTTCAAGTCTGAATTTCTGCTACAGGGAAGGGTTTCTTAAGACAATAGCTTTGGTTTTCCTGCATGTTTAAGCATAATCACCAGTGTAGATTCTTATCCACAAAAAAATGGGCACAGCCTCGGATTCCTTCTTGTTACCTCCCCAGAGCTGTGTTGAGACAGCTCACACCAGTTCTGTGACTTGCTCTGTAAAATCCACTGTCTGTTTATACATGAGTTATCTGTAGTAGTCATCTCTGGACATGTGAGGGTGGATTTATTTTCAGCCTCTCTAGCACTGGCCCCAGAGACATATAGAAAGTCTCTCCTGGAGGCAATTTTCTCCCATAGCAGGAGCTTTGAACTCTCCATTTTTACCGTGGAATTTGCTCTCCAGACAAGATGGCTGATCAATAGTTTTCTACAGTGCTGCCATCAAAGATGAGCCAGAAAGAGTTGTGCTTGCAAATAGAAACCCTTTCACTTCAAATACTGCCTGCAGAGTTTTTTTCCAGAATGGTTTGAGTCTGACTGGCTCCTCAGCACAATCACAATATGAAATGGCAATTTGCGAAAGAGTTTAATTAGTTGGATATTTTGTTAATGGTGTATCAAAATCATGATGATTGGAAAGAGAATAAGATTATGGGAGGGAAGCAGAGTTGTCCGTGTATTGTGCTCCAAATGTTATTTCCTTAGAAACAGTACCTTTGTCCAAAACAGCACCTTTTTACCCTATCCCTGTTTGTGTTCATAGTAAAAATTTCCCATTGTAGAGACCAAAAAAACCAAAAAACCCCAAACAAACAAACAAACAAAATCCCTCAGTTGATATGATAAATGACAGGAAGGAAAGCCCAGAGGTGTAGGAGAGCTTTGTATGCTGTTGGGGAGGGTCTGAATTAATATTTCTGTGTGTTTGACTAGAGAAGAACTTGATTTAGTCACTGGGGTGGGAAAGGGCCTACCACTCTCTTGGGGTGCCCAGGTCCAGCTGGGAAGTGATGTTGGTAGGCTCGGTGGGGAGCTCTCGCCAGCCTTGGCAGTGACAGGAGGCTGTGGTGGCAGAGAGGACTGAAGGATCCCTCTGTGAGCCTCAGAGAAGTAACAAACAGTAGCCATGGCAATGCTCTGTAAAATAAGACTAAACAGTAAGACTTGAAGGAAGTCTCAGGGCAAATTCACCTTTGTTTTCACCACTACTTGAGTGCCTTTACCCTCTGTGTGTGTAACCTCTGTGTCTGATGTATACCTGTATCTGATGCAGTCCCTCCCGGATGGTCATGTCCCTGGAATGAGAATGGACAGAGGAGTATCTATGCCTAACATGTTGGAGCCAAAGGCAAGTGCAGATGTTATTCACTTTCCTTCAAGACAGTGAAGACTTGACTGTGAAATGCAGATAAAATATGGGAAATGTCTTAGTTCCCTTGCTCTTCTTTACCTCACCTCAGTCCCTGCTCCTTATGTGCCAAACCTCTCCCTTTGTTCTGGAGTTTGCCTGTTAACAGGTGTTAGTGCTCAGGCAGGCTGAGGGCAGCCCAGGGGAGCTTCCTGGGCTAAGGAAGCTTTTCTAGAGACAACCTGAAGGATGCTGAAGGTGCTCAATAGGCAGTTCTCTGTCAGACTCTCACTAGCCCGAGCGGCAGGCCAGACTCAGTGGGAAGGTCTGAGATCTGTCCAGTTTGAAAAGTGAGGCAGAATATTGTGGCTCACAACACACTGTGGAGGCTGTCATAATGTAAAAATTAGGGAAATACACGGATCTTTGACTGGATGTCCGTCTGGATCTGCTATTTAGCTCTCGGCACTGTTAGCCTGACCACCTGTCAATAATATTCAATTCCCTATATGAGAAACTCTTTAGGAGATTCACTGGAAAAAGAGACAATGTCAGCTAATTATAATTTAGGATACAAATTAAAATGCTTTTACAGCTATGTCTAGAGATGTCTGAGTCAAAAATGAACATATTATATAGAGGGAATTAAACCAGAGCTGTGTTTTAAATCTTTATTCCTGGTGAACCTTCCATGAAATCATGATTTTGCTAAAGTTACAAGGATCAGAATTTCTACAGTTAAGTGAGGAGCTGGTTTTGCAAACCAGATGACTACCTGTGCTTCCAAGTCACCTCCAGACAAACTGTACGAGGCAATAACCCTGGCTTTATAAGCTGAGACCCCAGAGCAATGTATAGTTACAAGTGGTTTTATATATTATATAAATAAGACCTTGGGGACATTATCAGCTCCTGAGCTACTACTTTTTATTCCAAAAAATTTCTCTTTCAGTGCAATAGAAATTTTTTAAGCCACCACTGCTGTTGATGCACCCAGTGATTTGGGATGTTATTTTTGAGTGACAAATTCTGTCGGTATTATTAATGATAAAATTTATGGCAATTTTTCTGAGATAAGAAATCACTTTTTGTTGATGTTTATAAAGGTGATGCCAGATTCTCAGCATGTGTGAATTGGCACTATTTTTATTCATGTCAATGAGCCAACACTAATTTAAACCTTATAAAGTAAGAGAAGCTAATTCAAAGTCAGCATGAAACACATGCAAAAATTAGTAACCTTAAGAAGGACCAAATCTTACCAAATGGTTTTCCAGAAAAGACAGAATTTGTGCACCCTACCAACCCAGATTGAGACATGCCTTGTTATGAATATTTAAATATAAAATGTACTTATGACCGTAGATCTTGACTTAAACTCTGCCTGTTTAAATATGAAAAGTTACATTTTAGTTTCCTATAATGCTGTATATGGTAGCCATTTCCAGTATCAAACATAAACAATGTAATTCCAAGTATAGACTTAACTGTACAGTTGTGACAATGTCAGAAACTCATAAGAATCATATCTTACAATTGGTATGTAAGCACACGTTATTTAAGTTATTATTACTTACAATAAACTCAGTGGTGTGTTCACTGATGCCTGAATGTTATTTATTATATTTTTGAAAAGTTCTTTGGAACAGCTGTTGACAATGGAATGAACTTAACTGCCGAGTACTGCACAAAATTTGATTAGGTTGAATTTCTTCTGATGTTAAAACAATGTAATTAATCACATTTGATAATAGCTCAAACTCTCTGTAGAGGAGTTTTGATGGTCTCACTCCTGTGCCCAGTGGGCAAGGAAGACAAGACCCATAAATGACAGTAAAGGCTGAGCCAGTCACAACTGAAGTTTACAGAAAGACTTCATTGACCCCTGTAGGTGTTGGGTGAGGGGTCTGGGAATGCTGCTTTCCCAGTCTGCAGAGACATGCGATGAGAAGGCTCTAGAAAGGCTCTGGCAGATGGAACATAAGCTCTCCTAAGTCATTCCAGGCATGAAAATGTCTGCCTGAGGAAAAAAATTCCTAGAAGAGAGGTTTATTTGCCAGGGATGATTCCAGGAACTGATTTTGAGGTTTTCCAAACCCTTTCCAAGCAGCATTGTTTCTGTTGGATTAGGCTGATTTGAGACCCACTGACAGTGAACATTTTACTTTAAAGAACCTGTACATGTAAAACATGCAGTCAGGAACTGATTATTTGCCAGTGTCTGAATGTGTTTAAGTTCTGGACATTCTTTGCAGTGTAAAGGGAAATCAAGGGAAATCAAGGACAAATATGTCTACAAAAGTATCTCCTTTAGTCCATGTGTGTATGGCACAGCCAGCAAACACAGTGGGCAGTTTTTGGAATTCTTTAACTATCCAAAAGGTGAAGAAAATGATGTGATAAATTCTATTGAATGCAGTGGCAGTGACAAATTAATATCTTGTTGATTCAGAGATGCTGCCTTTTTTTTTTTTTTTGAAGTCCACTCATTAATTGTTTGTCCTTAGAGCTGTCCACACTTTGACAACCATTAGACCAATGAGTGGCAAATGCAGTTACCTTAATAAACTTTTACATTGATAGATGAGAAAGTATATTGACTAGAAAGGACTCTGTCTGACCAAAGCCAGATGATGTATTATATACAACATAAAAATGAGTGGAGTGGGCAAGTACGTAGTGGCTTCACAATATGAGGCAGTTCAATACTAAATAAGCCCTGCCTATGTCCAGATTGGCTTGTCTTCCATGCAACATTAGGAAAAAATGATAAGGAAAAAAGAAGCTGTTCCTTCCTTTGAAAAAGAAAACAGATGTTTGTGTGTTTATGAAAATGAAACACATTTTGTTCTTTCTGCTTTAGACCATAAATATAAATATCTCTTTTTCCCCCTTTTATACATTGTTAACAGATTTTTCCATATGAAATACTCATGGTGACCAACAGAGGGCGAAATAAAATACTAAAAGATGTAGACAGAACCAGGCTTGAGGTAAGAGAAGCAAGTTCCTAAATGCTCTTTCCTGCTGAAGTTGTTTATCGTTTGTGACAGCTGAAACACTGAAGTGTGGGTCCTGGCTAGACTGGGAAGGTTTCTCAGCACTAATCAGGGAAAGAATAATCAGAAATTGGGAGGATAGCAGCCGTATTTCCATGAACTGTGCTGAGCTGGGAGGCCCTGTCTCCCTGCTCATGGACTGAACATCTCATCCCTTACGTTTTCAAGCATTTAATAATATCCTCGTGGATTTGTTAAAAGCCCAGAATTGCACAAGTGTCATAGGTTCCATATTGGAATGGAGCAATACTTTGTTCAATCTTGGATCATCTTTTACCTGAGAGTCAGTGTCAGCCGGCCTTGACAATCAAAAGTCATGAGTGCTGTGACTTAGTTAGACTGGATGATATCCAAAAATACAAGAATTTAAATCTCTACCAACAAATAAAAATAATTTACAACTTTATGGATTAGAAAGACTTAAGCAGCCCGGTGGAATCCTGGGGATGTTTAAGTCGTTTGTAATTACTTAATCTTCTGTGGAGATGAATGGAAGGAGCCACAAAAATTTGGGTAATTTGGGTTTTATGCCCATTTTTAGACTATTAAGTGTGTGATCACTAGTCAGAGTTCAATGCTGTTTTACATTAGTGCCACAGGGAACTCCAGTTCCATCCAGTGAACTCTAAAGTGGCTGGACAAGAGGCAACTTGTGCACAGTAGTGTGCTGGACAGTTAGTCTGGCCAGACATCTTCCTTCTCAGAACTCTGAATGCAGCATGTCAACCTGCAGCCCTTCTGCAGAGCTCTCCTGAAACCCAGTGTCTGTTTGGACTTCCATATGTAAGCGGAGGTGACTTTCCAAAGCCTGGGACAGGGGCGTGCAGGAACTGGTTTTGTTCTCTGGTCTATCGCTGCTTGTTGGATGACTTCAGACAAATAATTTTTCCGTCTCTTGCTTATTCAGCAGCTGAAATAGTTCCCCTGATTTCCTTTGTAAACTTCTCACACTTAAAACTTACAAAGTTTAATTGATTCGTTGGGCACCCGAGTTCATGAGGACTTGGATGCATGTATTGCCAAAGCATTATTTTTCCCAGCAGTGGCTCTTACACAGCAACATGAAATCCCTAAGGCACTCCTACCTCCTCTTGTGTCTCTTTGGCTTTGACTGACCATTGCCTTTTCTCCTTTTTTTTTTTTATTTTATTTTTTTTTTAAGCGTCACTTAGCGCCTGAAGTTTTTCAAGAAATATTTGGCATGACGATACAGGAGTTTGACAAGTTACCTCTCTGGAGACGCAACGACATGAAGAAGAAAGCAAAACTCTTTTAATCTCCCTTTAAACAAACCAACAAAAAATGATGCATAGGATGTTGTTGTATCATACAGTCCACACTGTTTGGAAGCAACTACTTATCCACTGAAAAGGGAAAAATCACATAGTGGCACCTCTGTATACAGCAGCTGAACAAGATGAACATTTGCCCTCCTGGAACACAGGGAGAAAATATCTGGGCTCAGAAACAACAATGGTAGTTTTCAGAGGTGTCGACCTGTTACATGATATGATACAAGATAGAAAACTGTTCTGTTCTTCTCCCTCAATGATACTCCCTTTACTTCTCTCCACAATATGATGGACTTTATTGCTAGAGCCAGGAAGTGCCCTTAGGATGCCTTGTAGACTAAAGTAGTTGTAACCACTCCAAGAACTGGAAAAGAAAATATACATATATAAATATATATATATATATGTATGTGTGTTTGCCTGTGTGCACACCTGTATTTATATCTATCCATCTCTCTCTGTGTGTGCGTGTATGTGTGTGTATATATGTGTGTATATATGGAGAGGAAGATGGATAGGTGCTCTGTAGTGAAGGAGAAGCCCCTTGTAACTTATCCACATGGTCACATTAAGTCTTTCACTCAGCTGTTTCTTACCTGGCACTCTTTTGACGTGGCATCTTCTTCGTGTGAAACCACCTGCAATGGTGGGCGCTCTGCTCACTTATCGTGCGTACTGGTTGGATTTCTGGAAAATGGATTCCTTGTATATATTTGCTAGGGTATAGGAAGTGAATTGCTGTGTGTGTTGTCAGTCTTCCCTTTTCCACACTTTCTGCTTGAATTAATAAGGCTGGAGAGTAACCAGTCCTTTGAATAATTTAAGATCATTTAAGTAATGGGAATGATGGAGAAGAGTCAGTTTTCTTGTAATTTACTCCAGGAGATGGGTGGGTGGGGGTGGGAGTGGGAGTGACAGAGTGAGAAAATGCTTTCTTAAGTGTGCCCTGGTTTGCACCCAGAGATTTTGGGACAAACTCCCTGCTAGTAATTACTAGTACAGCTCATCAGACTGCAGTGGAGTTGTAGGATTTTACACTGATGGGGAAGGTTCTCTGCAAGCTAACATGCAAATTCATCCCTCTTAGGAAGGGATGTTTATGAATTAAAAGGTACCATCAAGGTGCCACGCTCTGCCAATAGAGGCTTTTTGATTAAACTGCAGTTGCTGTTGTCAATATGGCACAGTGCATGGGGCCAAGCACTCTTTTTAGTTAATGTAGTTTTTCACTTGTGCTTGGAAAACAGGGCACAGACTTTTTTTTTCCTTTCTTGAAGCATCAAAGCTCCAGCCTTGGTTATTTTTATTTCCCTTTGTGCCTGACTTGGTTTTTGAAGACAGAGTAATCATGCAAGACAGTTTCTGAGCTGCATTGAACTCCTTATTGCTTTCAGTCTTCTTCCAGTATGCTGCAGCTTAAAAAACTGCCTGTATATACCTTAACTGCTTCTGGGCAAGTCCTATACATAGGAGGACATGAGCACCAAAGTAATTGAATGGATGCATTGTGGCTGCCAGGTCAGCTTTTTCTCTTCTTTAAGTGGTGCTTAACTGCCAATGCATACTGCACTAATGAGCCTGTCTCCTGGTACGGGAGGGGGTCCTTTAGGTTCTGTGTCTGTCAAAGAATATCAAGGTTTCCTTCTTAATGCAGAAACTTCAGGCACTGGAGACATCAGAACCTCTGAATTTTCTGTCCTATGAGACATGGGTGTTAAAATCTGCAAGTTAGGAAGGGGAAACAGTCCCACGTAGTTGTGAGATTCAGTATCACTGTGTTGAGTTCTCTTTATCACCAAATGACATTTCACCATGAACTGTGCAGGGCAGCCCAAATCCTGCCTCTTCTTTGCTGGTTTAGGAAGTCCTGTTGCAACAGATCACTGTGGTTCCTTTGATAAAATCTGAGATGGAGATTCAGTAAATGAGAGACAGAGACCAGGGATCACCACCTGCTCCACGTCCTTAGAGCTGAGGGAATGGTGACTCTATGGGACAAGTTGGAAAACATCCTACCATGGAGATCTGGCACCACGGTCCCCACTGCACACAAGTCCCCAGTGAACACTGTGACACACACACACACTTGAGTGAGCTCTCTGGATAGTACTGAGATTGCAGCAAGAATCGGTGTAACATGTTTTAATTTTACTTTTCAGAACATGCATCTGAAAGCTTTTTAGAGGAGCACTGAGAAGTGCTAGTTAAGGGCACTGGCAGATGCGTTTTTGAGTGACTGCTGAAACCAAATCCATATGATGGAAGAACAACAGTGTTTTACAGTCAGAGAATTTGTGAATGGTCGATGTCTCAGAAATTCAGTGTTTGTCACCCGCAAGGTGTGGCTTAATTTTGAGGTGAATGTGTGGGTTTTAATGCACTTAAATTATTAAATTCTCCAAATTTTGTTCATCCCACGTCCTGTAGACAATGTGTGCTGCTGCCTCTCAAACTATTAGGCATTTAGGTCTGAAGATTTGGTCTCTCGAGGATGTGAGCTGCCAGTCTGCATTTTTCTGTCCCCATCTCTGGATTACTATTGAACTTCTCACAACATATACGAATAGATTACCCAGTCATTTCAGAAATGACTAAGCCATGTTGTTTCCTCACCTCTGCATCCTATGCAAAAAAAAAAAAAAAAAAAAAAAAGGTTGGGAAAAAAAGAGAACTTAGCCTCCTAGGCTGTGAAGAGTGACCTGGTAATTTGTATCTGCCTCAACAACTGAGAATTTAGAACTGTAATTGAAGCTTGGGAAGGAATGAAGAGAAGCCAGCTTAGATGCTGCTGAAAGAATTCATCTCTAGGTGGATTTTTGGACCACTGCTGGTTCACATTTCACTGGTGTGGACCGGTCAGTCAGTTCACAGCCCCCTGCACCAGACTTAATACTGCTTTATTTCTGATTAAGAACATGAAGGGTTTTCTGAGCTTCAGTTTCATGCCCATAGTTACTTCCCAGCCATATCCATGTAGACACACCCCAAGTGGTTCTTGTCTGTCCACAAGACCCACACTGCAGCCAGACATAGCAGGGGGGTGTTTTCTGCAGTGGGCTCTTAGTGATTGTCACTGCAACATTTTCTATTCTTTCATCTGGTCTTCCCACCTAATAAAAATGAAATGTAGCCCCAGGGAGAATTTTCTTTGTAAGCAATTAATCATTCTCCTACTATCAATCGAGTAGCAGCTCTTTGTAACTCCCCTCTTTGATTTTCCCTTGAGACATGTCAAGGGTTGGACTAGATGACGTTTAAAGGTCCCTTCCAACCCAAACCATTCCATGAGTCTATGAGTATGCCTTAAGTACATGCTTATGTTCTTCTATCTCCTGCAAAGCGTTTGAGCTTCTGATAAAGTCCCATCCCATCAGTGCTGTCAACAGAATGTCATTACCAGGAGGACCGAAAACTGATTGCTTTCATCTTCTTTTTTCTGCTTTAGGAGTGATGTAAGGGCAAAGACCAGTCAAAGAATTGCTAAATAACCGCATGTGTACAAAATGGAATTATGTACACATGCAGGCTCTCAAACACAGGTGCCCATGTAACACACACACTCCCCATTTGGAGCTCATTAAATGTGGTTTGTGATGTGTTGTGGGCATGGCTGCAGTGTGCTGTGAAAGGTTAGGCTTGGAGAAGAGTGCACTCCTCAGTAGCTGCGTGTGGGACAAGATGGCCCTGTGGCTCCAGTAGTGCTCTTACTTCAGTCAAGACAGATGTCATCTCTCCTTTCAACCTCCTACAGTCCTAAGTCTGTGGGCCAAGCACTTGAGGTGCTTGCTTCCCTTTTCTTGTTGCAACTTGGAAATCCTTTCTGAGCCAAGTAGTTCAGATGTCTTGCTGTTCAAGGGAGGTCATCAGGAGCCTCTTCTGTAAAAGTTTGCTGCGCTGAAATGAGACACATTTTAAAGTGAAATCCTTTTCCACAAGTCCTGTGTTTCCTGGTAGGGTAATAGCAATGGACAGAGAAGGAGAAAGGTCTGAAAAGGAGGGCTGGCATAAGCCAGGGTTTGCCAGGGTGATGTTTAGCAGGATGAGAGGAAAACATTGGTATGAGCCTGTAGTACCTCTTTCAAACTGTGGGGAAGTCAAGTTTGGAGTTCACAGCATATGAGAGTCTGTACTGAAATTAATGGTATGAAGCTGTTAGAATAAACAACAGAAAAATTAGGCCCCAGAATGGTAAAAATAAGAACGTCCTCTAAACTCATCATGGAATTACTTATCTTGGCTCATCCTGAATTAGGAGGAGATCTTGGCATATTTGGACCATGGCCTCCTAGAGTAGACCAAATGGAAACCACCCTTTCTCTCACTCCATGATTCATTGTTTTCCTTTGGAATGTGTTTGTGGAGGAGAATGTCCACATCCCAAAAGTTACCCACAGCAGTGAAGACTACTCAGTGATAATGATAATGATAATGCAATAAAACACTTACAGGAAACAAGAATATCAACTAATCTGTCCCAAAATGCCACTCATTTTTCCATGCCAGAGAGAAACTTAGGACTTGAGTCCAGAGCTGCCTTCCCTATTCAGTTAAACCCCAGCAGGTCATGGTCCAGTTTGTGCCCTGTCAAACTCTTTGACCTTGTCAACACACCTGCTAGAGTCCAGCATAGTCTTCAGGGTAGATGCATAGCAAGGGCTGGTCTTGACAATATGTGGAGTGTTTTCACCCTGTTGCTGTGTAATGAAGAGCTAGAGAGGGCTCCTGAGCACTGTGACAGCAGCACAACGCGCCCTTCTCCTTTAATGTAGAAACACCCTTATTGCTGTGGGCTGCAGCATTGCTCTGGCTGGTGAGTTTTGCCTTGTGATTTCTCCTACACACCTTTTTTTTGTGCTTAATAAAATAAGAAACAAAACAAAACAAGACAAAAAAATCTATCACAATGCAAAGACACCGAGTTTTCAGTCAGACGACTCTGCTGGTAGGAGCTATGTGATGCCCACGTTTGGTAGGAGTATTGTTAATTTTAATGTAAGCATCAGTGCAGGAAGCGGGAATGTAATTGGCCATTAATGTTGTTTGCCTGTATGCAAAATAAATTATTTGTTGCCCAGAGGGCTTCTAACAGGGAAATAGATTTCTGCTAATAATTTGCTCACAAGTGCTTGTCTGTGTGAAGAGGTAATACTTCCACGTGCACTGTGGTCTTTTTTTGAGGTAAAGGAGACATGAGTGAAGGCAAGCAGTAACCTGTCCTGTCAGGATCACCACAGTTAATGGAAGTGTTGCTCCCAGGACTTGCAAAGCTGAGGCCCACAGGACCTTCCTCCTGGGCATTAGGAAATGCAGCATTTCAGCAGCAGAAGCAGCTATGGGAATTCCAGCGGTGCCTTACCAGGCTGAGTCTCTAGCTCCCTTAGGCGCTTTGACAGGTCCCACTGGACACTTGCCTGGGCTTTTGTCACTGAACACCTTCAGAATGCACTTCCCCCCCTCCCCCAGATGGAAACCCACTGACAGCAGTGGAGCCTCTCATTGGTACCTGCACCCCTTGGGCCAGGCTGTCCCGGCAGGCCAGGCCAGGAAAGCCTCTGGCCACTGTGCACACCCACAGGAGCTCTGTGTGTCATTCCCAGGTCAGTCCTGTCCAAGCAGCTTGGTCCCTGTGGACAGCTCTTCCTGTAAGGGGGCCTTACAGCTGGGGGATTTTTTTTAAGCTTTGGAAACTGAAACTAATTTTTTAAAGGTATACTTTCCTTTAAATCAGTAGACTTTGGCAATAGGATTTTTTATTATTTTCTTTTCCTTTTCTCCTCCCTCCACATGTTACAAACCAGCGTTTTGGGGAGGTGTCCCTGTGTTTTCCATTCACCTGTCTCTCTCTCTGAGTCTCTGTAAAAGTGAATCCATGTCTTGTCTGTACAGTAAGTCTGCTTGTATGCATAATGAGAAGTTGAGCTGGGTTGCTGTTCTGTACAATTAATGTTTCCACTGTCACACCGCAAACAGCACATATTGCACTCCTGTGCCACTGTAATCTGCATCACTGTTGTACTCAAGTCAATGAATAAAGTTTGGAGCTTTATTCTTAATTTCTGGATTCATGTTGCCTCATTTATTTTGGTTTTTTTTTTTTCATCTTGCAGAGTTATATCAAAGTCCTCTTACAAAACAGGTGTGCTCTCAAGAAACAGGGAGGTGAGATATAAATGACCAGAGCAAGGCAGATAACAGTTACAGTGAAACTCTGTGAAATTATGACAAAAGCTTTGAAAATTGACACAGGGCTTCTTGTTACTAAGTCACCAGAAATAGATGTTCATGCAAACCACATAGAAGTGTTATTTTTGTTGTCAGTTGTGGTTTAAAATGACCAGAGATACCAATAAGGTCAACTAGACCATGCTGTTATGTCAGCTTCAAAGGCTAAATGGTTTCCTTTCTTGATCCTTGCAAATTCAGCTAAAATGTTAGACACATCTTGAAAAGATGTTTACATGTCTTAGCATTTAAAGTTAGGTGTTTGCTTAATTACCTGGAGTTTAAACCTGCCTAGCCTTAGTCTGGGTGTGGAAGGTGGGGGATAATGCCAGTCAAGGAAATAGAGTGTTTTATAACACCTGGGAATGTGCTGAACAGCAGACTGTAGTGGCAGAGAGCTCTTCAGAGGATGTGATGCAGCCACACACCCTGCACAGAGCCCTTGAGCCTCCAAAAAGCCTCTGCAGCATCAAGATCTGTATCCTGCAGATATCATGTTCCCCATCTTCTCTTCCACAGCCCTCTGAGCCTCACCCCTGCCCTTGACCCACCTTGATAGTCTACACAGGTTCTCTCCCGCAGCAAAGGTAGAGGTTCCTCAGGGTTTTACTTCAGTGTGTTGAGAGTGTTTAAGGACTGAGTCTCAGATGAAATGGGGAGTCAGGTTCCTGTCTGGAGGGAAGGAGGTGAGGAATTGAACACCACCATGAAGTTAGCCTTTAGCAAGGTTCATATCTGCCCCATTCATCTTCCCAGGCCATACCTGGATTTTTGCTGTGAGTATGCTGGAACTTGCACAGGAGACAAACTCTGCAAAATGACCTGGTCTCAGTTAGATGCTTCCTTTCTTTGCATTGCTTACTCCAGAGATTGTATTTTTGCTGTAGGTGGGACAAAATCAAGTCAAAATCAGAAAACCAGATTCATTTATTACAACTCTGGACTTACAGCTCAGTGAAGGGCGGAAGCATCACTCCAGTGAAATATTTAAACACAGGTTTTTGCTCTCTATTTTGCTGCAGGGTGTAACTGGAAGAGTCCTAATCCTGAACTGGACAATTTGTGTGTGCACAGTGGAAATGACCTTTGCTTTGAACATTTAATGGACTTATTTTCAACAGGCATAGAGGTCCATGGACTTCAGCAGACTGGCACATGTGTTCCAGTAGCCCTCATTTCTCTGTTTCCTCCGTGTTTATAGACATTTCCTGCCTGGGCACTTCACAACCCTTAAAGCTGTCAGACCAGCTATGAATGAGGGCATAATAACCCATTTTCTATCCTCTTCTTTTTAGGACCAGCTCTGAGAACCTTCAGGATTTTTAGTCTCTTGTGAGCAAACCTGGGCTGACAGCACATGCTTCTGTGCAGGTTACTAGTGGGGAGTGCTGGGAAAACCTCAGCCAGGGAGTCAGGAAGAGACAGGAATGTATTTAAATGTCTCCTTGTTCATCTGAAGGGCAAACACAGGTCTAAGAGAGACCTTTCTTAAAAAAAACAGTTTTGTCCTGCTTATTTTCCCTTCACCTGAACAGCCAGATGTCATGGAAATGTTTCCTCATTGCTCTGCAGGGCAGGACCCCATTCCCTGCCTACCAGATTGCAGCCCCCAAGCACTTCCATGTTAGGTTTTCCTTGGGTATCTCTTGTTAACCTCCCTGGGCATCTTCATACCTCTAGGAAGTAAGGAAGGTCTGCCCATGAAGTACCTGCTTGAAAGAACACAAGTGTAGGTCTATGATTTGGCCTTGGAACTTTCCTTAAAGGTTTCCCAACCATAGGAGAAAAAATCCCAAACCAAAGTCTCCCTTTTGAATCACTTGCACTCTTGGATATCCACCACCTGAGTGTTGGGTCCCTCCCTGTAGCAGCAATTACAGTGCAGTGCCAGCCCCAGGACATGTCCTGCCAGCCCAAACTCTGGACATCCTAAGCAGCAATCCCCAGCTGGGGATCACTGACCCAGCAGTGTAAAGGAGCAGTTGCTCCATTACAGCCTCCCCAGCACAGAGCATTGGGAATATTTTCACTGTGACTGCACTTCTATGTAAAGCAAATTCACAAGGATCCATTCCAGTCGTCAGCCCCACAGTGTGACAGTGCCAGCCAGCCTAAGCACACTTTTAATTTCCCTCCAGTTAAATTCACAAGCCCAGTGAAATCTAAGTCCAGGGTTTTTTTCTTTTTTTTTTTTTTTTTTTGGTTGTTAGACCATGTTAGACCATTTTTCCCTGCTCCCCTCCTCCCCACGAATAATACGAGGTTTATGACCCCTGAGTAATGGCTGTGGAATGCACTGCATCCTACAGCCATCACAAGGCATCTGGCAATGGGAATCTTCACAGCATGTAAAAAATATACAGATAATACCATTGTAAATAACTTAGATCAAAACAAGTCAAATGTCAATGCTAATTTGCTGTCAAGTATAGCCCAAGACCACTTCCTCCTGCAAGAAGAGAGACTCAGTTCCCAAGTGTGACTTGCTCCCCACCAAAAGACTCTTATTCTCCACCAAAAATCTCCCCAAACTCTGAATTAACAAGAGGGGTTTTTTTTTTCCCCCCTTGCTGTTTTATTTTCCTGTAGCTTTTGTGCCTGTCTGCTGCTGAGTCCAAGGCTGGGAAATGAAACTTCAGTTTTGCCTGACATTTTTCTATTGTAAAAAAGGACTCTTGGGAGAGATATTTACTGTTTTCTATGGCTCAGTCAGAGGGCAAGGGAGAAAAGTTGTTCCAGGAGTTCCCATTACAAAGCATTTTTTCACATAGGCTCACTTTTATTTTTTAAAGACTGGGAGATTAAAGAGCCGGCAGCTCTGGAACAGGAAGTTTGCTGTACATCCAAAGGTCAGGTGGGTCTCAGACAGCCACTGCTTCCAGCTCTCTTTTATATACACACTGCAGATTAAAATGTACATCCCGGGCTGGATGTAGTCATGGTAGTGATAGGGGCCCAAGGGTTCCGGGGGGAAAGGAAGAGAGGGGGAGCAGGAAAACAGCACAGCGCAGCCTCTGCTCGAGCTGTGATTTCACAAGACAAAGCACTGGGCGGCTGTTCAGCAGGCTTAAGGTATTCCCACGCCCCCACAGCTTTTTCCTGCCATCAGATATGTCAGCATGACTGCTTGTGGGGTCGCTCTCAGTGACATTCGGGAACCGATCCTGCTTAAAAAACCATTTTTTTACTTTTTATTTCGTTGCATAGCATTGTTGGTTTTTGGGGGTTTATTCTTTTTGAACTGACTCAGTTCCTTGCCTTGAGTTAAGCAGGGGCCTCCCAAAATGGTTGTGCTGGCATGAAAAATGGGGTGGGCACAAGTGAATAGCAGGGTCTGGAGAGAGAACAGAACACATTAAACTGCCAGTGATACTGCATTCTGTGTGTCATGAAATCACAGTCTCAAGTCCTTGGCAGAGAGGGCAGTTGGTGGCCCTCCCTTGGTTTCTTCAACTCCAGCTCCACTGCACCTTAGGTGACTAAGTAGTCAATTAAGAAGGGTATCATTGTCTCCAAAACCTTTTACGTTCACACTGCTGCAGTCAGGTATTTTTGCAAAGTCAGGAGTGTTTCAGCTGTTCCCTTGAATGAAAGAGGGAAGGGAGGAGGTGGACTAAATCTCACCTTCAACATGCATTTTCTGGAGAAGGGGCTGTTCAGCTGGCAAAGGAAGCCAGTTGCAGACTGGCCTTGCTTGGAGAGCCACTGTACTGGCATGTTATCCTGTACCCACTGTTCTGTTCACTCCAGGACTGTGCTTAAGTGCAAGGGGATGAAACACTAATGTCTTTTTTTCCCCCTTCAGGTATTCCTCATTGTCTTGTGGCTGGACAGCAAGTCAGGACACATAAATTCAATGCTTTCAGCTTTCTAAACTTGGGCAAGTCACTGACATTCTGTAGCCTTCAGGTTTCCCTCATGCCCTCTGTGGTCTGTTTTTGCCAGAGGGAGCAAAAACCTGTGTGCTATGGATCCATCCAGTCTGTGAGGCAGGTTAAGGCCCAGTAAGGCTTAAAGATTGAACAATGCTTTGGCAAGTGTGGCCAGAAGTTTTTGACTATTTCTGCCACTTGCCTTAATAGACTCTCTTCAAGAGGGGACCACAGGGGCAGGGTCTGTGGGCCAGAGGGCCAAGGCTCACACTGCACAGGTAACTGGAAAGAGCTCTAAAAGTTTCGCACTCTCCTTGTATTATTGCCTCTGCAAGTGGCTTTGCTAAGCTTGAGAGTCTCCATTTCCCTGTCAGGCTGGGGAAGAGACACCCTGAAGAAGGGTGTGGGGGTGGAGGGTGAGCAGGTTGAGCTCTGAGAGCCCTACAGTCTGTGCTACATTAGTGTTCAGGGCACAAGCTGGGACAGAGCCCTGCTAGGCACACTTGGTGGTTATTATAATGTCTTTGCTAAAACTGTGGCAATTGTTTGGACATAAGTCAGGAGAAGATGGTCTCTACAGAGTAAAGCTCTTCTTAGTGAAATTCCCAGTCTTCGAAGTTGGCAAGAGTAAGGGGCTGGATGTAAATTAATAGTGTGTCCCTGGGCAGCCAATGAAGAAACATCAAAAGGCAAAGCAGGTCTGGCAGGAACAAACTGACAGATCTGGAGGCTGATTTTGCTGCTCAGGGTCTCCACATTTTGGAGTAGATCTGTTATTTATTTCCATTATTTGTGCTACCCCAGCCCCCACAACACCGGGTATTGGAGGGAAGCGTTGATGGTAGAACTAAACCTCTCTGTAGGACTGGCCTAGTAAGGCTGCCAGAGGGAAACAGGGCTCCCCCTTGGCTGACTCTTCTGGATTTAGGCTAGATACTACAGAGGAAACAAAATGCAGC